CTCGGAAGTTCGAGAATGTTATCGATGGGAATACCGGCTTTGTTGAGCTGTGCCGAATACGGGATGTCATGCGAGGTGAGGTTGTAGACGATCTGGCAAACATTCCCGTCGAAGACCTCCTCGTCCTCAAATTCGCTCCCATTGTGTCTTGTGAAGTAGAGCGAACGTTTTCTAGGTACAAAAACATCTTCCGCGACAACCGACACCGGTTTCTCTTCGAAAATCTTAAAAAATTCGTTATCGTCGCGTGTAACCAAACTCAGTGAGTAGAATTAGTCGAACTTGACCTTCTTTAAATTGGACAATTAGCGAGAGTTAAATAAAATAGGCCGATGGTTGCGCATATTTTGAAGCATATCCGGTCCTTTTTTTCGATCATAACGCATGCATATTCCAGATTTTTTTACGCATATTTTTCCCATCCCTAGTTATGATTCAGCGAAGCCTCCTGTCCAGTTTTGCCCAAGGGTTTTTCTCCGTCAACTAAATCCGGACTCCGGGAAGCGTCCGTGTCCGAGCAGCGCTTTCCAAATTTCGGATGGAACGGGCACCTTACGATTAGATAGAGGGGAATCACTGCGTCGAGCGAGAAGGATCGGAAGCATCGAGTCATACACGATTCAATGGCCGGAATTAGGTCCTTGTCCAACTTCAGCTCTCGATGCATCTACAAGTTTTGAATCGATAACTCGAGCAAGTCCCCAAGTCCCGAGACATCCTGGAAAATCGCCGCGACCCGCCGGTGGGTTATCTGCCGTCTCTCGCGGAACACTGACTCTAGTCTGATTCTGAACGAATCGACCCTCGTGAGCACGTACTCATTCCGCCACAAAGGATTCCGGAGCCGCGTGGAGAAGTGTCGCCAATCGGTCGGCTCGAGGGGTAAAGGGGCACACGGGAAAATTTCGCGAACATTGCTGTTCTGCGCGCGAATGGAGCATTAGTCTTGCGTGCCAAGCAACTTCCGCTTAAGGAAATCGCCCCCAGCGAGCTATTGATTTGTAGTTCATTTTCGACCAGCTGGTCTTATGGACCTTCGGGTCTGTCGAAGCCACGACCTCCTTCACACAGTTCGTCTACTGGAGAAGAAGTATCCGCCCGCTTGGGATTAATGCTTATGACAATAGAGTCCACATAATGGCTGCCAGGTGGCGCCATATTTATTGCGGGAGCTCCAATTGCCAAAACCATTCTGCCCTCCACCGGCTGACTCCTATGGCTGGCTGACTCGCAGACCGGTCGGCCTATTTCCGCGATGTCGGATAACTGACATTATCTTTATTATTTTCGCAGACATTCAGCTCCTCGCAAAATATCGCAGCGGCTCTCGTGCGGCCTGACACCCGACCTGAACGCCCAGTAGACCCTGGCTCATTTACCGAGAATGGCTGGTTCGGAGGAGAGTAATGAGTAATGAGTAATGACACATTCGATGAGTTTGTAATATTTGAAGCTGCTCTCATCCTTTTTTTATAATCAAGAATTCGGTGATTCCGAACATTCATATAACAAATTCCAAATATCTTAGGTTTCAGCCACAAGTATTTGGGAATTCAAGCTCTCGTGAGCTTGATTGGATAGTTCTCCGTTATTAGGTGGTTGTCATCGAACACGATGACTACATTCACTTCGAATTCAATTTTGAAATTCGAAGTGACTAATGTAGGGCAGGTGAACAGTCTAGGGAAGACCATGTGGATCGGGATGTTCACTCCTCTGCTGACGTCTCCCTCTCCGATTTGGATATTTTGAATCTCAGTTGCTAAAAATCGGATGAAAAACTATTAGACATTAGACCACACAGAGCGTCAACGAGTCGTCGCCCGTCAAGAGATTTCGATTACACCGAAACTACCGAGCGCAGACCTTTTCCGGAAATATTAGGAGTCTAGGCTTCCTCGATTGAAAAACACTTGCGTTCCCACGATACCGCGCCATATGTCAAATAATGCTCGATGACACCATATTATGATCAATAATCAAATTTCATGGAGGGAGCTTCGTGTCTTATGGAATCGGGCGACTAAGCACTTGGACGAGGGAATCGAAATAAGCTTTTAGAGTCATTGAAAAAAGGGATGAATCTCCGGCAGACCTACCGTCTCTAGAGTAGCCTTCAGCACAGCCGCACGTTTCCACTCGGACAAGTTGAAGTTCTATCGATCGGATCTTCGTGTCACAATGCTCCACGCATAGCTAGAAAGATGTGACTCTGATAAGCAAGTTCAGCTCTCAACGGCTGCAGATTCCGATAGGAGCACGACAGCCCGCACTAATGCTGTCTCGAGCAACGGAGTACGACACGGTCTATGAGTCTCTTAGGCTCGGCGGGCTGGGGCACATGGCACATCGGAGCTCTTCCGGACCCTCCTCAGAAGTACGGCTCGGGGAAAGTATGTACATAGATCGATAAACCCCACGACTTCATGGAAACGAAGTGCTCACCACACCACTCAGGGGCTGTGTCATTTTACATTGCGTAGAGTCAATCCTTCCGTGAATCGCAAACGAGGGGACTCTCGAGCGATCCAGGACGTTCTGTAGACTTTCAGGCGAGATATTGATGTTGATAGGTCGATTGTTCGCACGCTCAGCATCATCCTGTGCGAAAAAAATCGATTGGGAATTAATTATCTCGCTTCCCGGATCTCAGGAACTCTCGCACAGCAATCAAGTGTTTTCGTTCTCGCAATCTATGATGATTGAGGAACTCACCGGCTTGTATTCGAGCATGATCTCCTGGGTTTTGGTCACAGTCTTGGAATAGAGTTTGCTGCGCTTCAATTCTGCTCTGATGACATACTGGATATTGATGAAGACCCCATGGTAGGTTTCGAACAGAGGTCTGTTGGCTTTGAGAGACTTCAGGGGAAACTCGAAGGGGAACTGATTGGTGCCGGACGGGAGCTGAAATGAGAATTATATACGTCAATCCCCGATGACATCGATTATTATTCAGATACGGCCTCGATGTGCTCTACAGCTTTGATGAGATTTTGAGGACGTCTCTCATTGGGACGATTTTCTTTCGTGCCAGTATGGGTGTTCCTTTCGCGCTTGACGAGGATCGATTCTTCTCCGAGTATGTTTCAGTAAATACAAGGAGTTTCTCCTGCGCTGAAAGAGAGGCTCCAGGATGGAAGGATTACCTTTCCAGCTTTTAGGACTTCTATCGAACATTGTGTGAGGGGTATCGGTTTCACTGAAGACACTAGGGCTTCGAGGAGTCCAACGCTCTTCGGAGACAGGTCCATCTTGACCACCCCATCGACGACTATCACAAGACCATCGTGCTTCAATTCAGACTGTGATTCCAGTACCAGCAAGCCAGAGACGGTTTCCTGGGAACGAGATAAGCGCCTGATTTCCACGGGAGGGCAGACATTCATATCCGGCGATTCTATCGAGCGGAGTCCTCGACATTTCCAGCGCGATTGATATGACGGTACTCACGTCTTCAACGTATGTTTTATTCGCGCGTTTCAAACGTATGTCTAACGACACCATGGCTAGCTAGCTATGAGCAGGTGACTGAGTATTCTTCACAGGCAGTGAAACGTATCTCCGTCTAGACGTTGCGGTCTCAACTGTCAGTGCGCCAGATCAGCTGATCGGCGACCACACGGATGCAGACACAGTCGCTATAATCGGCTGATGTCTGGGATCTAGAGGGACACCCACGGTACGTTGCATGGACTCTCACGATCAGCGGGATCTCCGACCAAGTATTATGGCGGTTCCGGTCTGCCTCTGCTACGGAGATTCGCGGAATGGCGCGGACCGCCGCACTAGCTCCGGGAACACCTACACTGGGGTCGCGCAACGGAGGAACGCCGCGCTGCCGACGCGAGGGCTATTCTACCATTCCTGTCTAGATCATGAATCGTTCAATTATGCCCCGGTTTGGGCTTAACAAGCCGAGCCCGGTCGTCGCGACGTCAATTTCTCTTCAATAATTCCGCCGATTCTTCGAGGGAATTGTGAGTTGACAGAAGATCCATGAGCTCATCCCACGAGAGACGCAGGACGGGAACGAACCGGGAGCTTTTGGAAGCATTCTTCAACGTGGAACGCAGGAACAGGGCGAAATATTTTGCTCGGAGCTTCCAGCCTGGGAAGCTGTGAGTCGCATCACATGAATCGCCTAGTCACCATGTTCTAAGCCATGAAGCATTCTCGTCACAAGTTACTCCCGAAGGGAGGATAGTGAGACTCTCATTTCAGCGATGCATTCCTCTGCCGTACTGAGCCTAACGGCAGTCTCTGCGTCGAGGCGGCCTCGAGGATCATTGATGGTGAATCGTCGGGTCTAATAAAACAGCGTTATAACGGAAAGATCCCGGAAGAAAATCTTATACAATGGAATCCGATTTCCGGGAATGGAGCTCGCAGTTCCACACACGGATTTTTGAAGGGTCCTTGGCTGAGCGGAGCGGCGGCTGGACGAGTGACGACTCGTAGACCTTATCGGATAAGGAGTCACGAAGGCAAGATTGTATGATAGGTGCTGGCTCTGTGATCTCTCAGTCCTCGAGGCTCTCACCTGTTTCCCTAGTATGCTTCGGTCAGGTGAACGAAACTTTTGCCAACACCTGAATAGGACCACGGTCAGCACTCGTGGCGCATACATGATTTCGCATCTCGGAGACGACTCTTCATAGCTGGCCATCCCAATCAAAGATACCATCGCGAGCTCATGTCTTCCAGCGTTCTCTCTGGGCGAAGATAATGCTGGGTAGGGAGTCACCTAGAACTCAGCCGCCGAGGCTCTGTGGTCCAGCCCTGCCGGAGGCTGTCGGAAAATCGCTCAATCCCTGGCACGGATTTTGCGATCCGGTCACGCTTTTCGATGAAATGATGATGTCGCCAGAGCACACCGTACGATCGGAAGGAGACGATTATCCTTAGCGAATCGCCTGAAGGATCTCCGGTTCTCTTCCGAAGTCGCAGCGAGTTCGGGGTGATTTTTCGATTTCATTGCTACCGATGGAAGTCAAGCGTTGAGTTCCGGCCGTCTAGCTGCGGAGGATTACTCATCTCTCCGTTCCTTGAACTACCGTCGATTCCCGGGAGCGGCACAAGTTCGATCCTCAAAAGAATTTGATGCTGGGAGCTGTGGATCAGGAGCGTGTCGCGAACACGACCGAGTCGACTCAGAAGCTCCTTGAGGAACCTGCGTTAGTCGAGGACCCTCGTCGGAGTCGGAAGCCCTGTCCTTGCAAATTCCCCGCTTTCGCGAGTGGAATCCTCGAACATTAACTTAATTGTATGCAGCCGCGTTGCTGTGGTGACACCGCTTGCGTCGGGGGAATAGATCCTAGGCTCCTCGAGGATTCCCGAGGCCGGCCGAGAAGACTTCTGGCAGTCTTAGGATCAGGGGGATGAAGTTCAGGTACAAGTCGCGATCCAAGATGATGCGATGGCATGTAGGAAACGGTGATATGATTGATTGTCTGGAGCTAGATTAGCCCCAATGGACGCTTGACTTCCACATATACCAATCAGCTTGAAAGAATGAAGAATGAAAAAATCACCACAAAAATCACTCACTTCGAATCGGGAAGAGCAATCGAGATCTGAAAGATGAAGTGCGATATGCTAACAGTAAGCGTTGCCCCCCCCCCCGATCCTTCGGGGCGCTCCGAAGAAATTATGACCCCTACCAAAGCTCGGAACCGGGGCGGAGAATGCCGTCCCGATCAAAGATGGAGCGATTTCCGGAAGGGCTGAACCAAAAAGCGGCGCGGTTCTCATTGACTTCGTACCTAGCGACAGCTGCGCCCGGGAGCACTGCCGGAAGACATGATCTCGTGATGCCATTACAATAATTTGTTCCTGGATCGAGAAATCATCAACTAGGCGTCACTTCGCTCCGGGCGTCAGTGGAGGAAAGTCATCGTTTGAATAGGCGATCTTGTGAGCTCCACAAGGGCAGACCAGAGACAGACTCCCCGCTCTCGTCCCTCGTCATCCGATGAGGATCGTCGATCCTCCATTCCGTCCAATTGATGAGTTCGAAGTTGGAAGTGAGAAACCACCAAGAGTGAAACTCGGGGCGGCCTCGAGGCAGGTACGGCATCCTCGTCCGGACGGCGTTGTGTGTCCTGGGTGGACCTTCACCCGAGAAATGAATGTGAACGACAATCCAGCTCATGCATTGCTCGAGCGATTGAGAGATCTGCGGTTGTGATGCGGAATTCTCCTCCAGAGAATGCATTCGACCAAGATGCCGCTCCTCGGCGGATAAGTGCGCGAATTATCACCGTTTCCTGCCGGACTCAGATACTTCAACGCTCGAAAATGCCGCCTGCGGCAAACCACCGCCACCGATCCGGAAGAAATCTCCGTCGGTGTAGGCGAATTCGAGCACCCGGCAGGTGTCTTGGGATGGCCTTTAGGCGCCGAGCAGCTTCGTCCTGGTCAGACTTCGAGACTATGACTTCGAAAATGATGAAGTCAGGGTTGACAGGCTCGGGAGGTTCCGGAGAATGTTCGAGGGGAATTGTCATCGAGGAATCCGTGAGGAATCACAGCAGTCCCATATTTGAGTCAGGGAGAAACTCTGGCGAGGATTTCGACACATCATATGGATGCATGTGAAACCAAACGAAATACGCTGGCTAACCGATCCTCTCCAATTGATAGAATCAATCTATGGCCCGATGTAACATGTTGGTTCGTGCGTTGAGCTCTGATCGATGAATGATGTCACTGTACTCTCCTCTACCATCTTGATTGGAACTTTCGGAAAGCCCGAAGACGCAAGTTACCCTTCTCCCGAACGCGGTGTCGTTCTGGAAAGACGGGCTACTTTGTACTTCGGACTCAGCCCAGATCTCATCCAAATCAAATTTCCAGGATTCTTTCGTCGCATCGGAGTCGATAAGTATGTTTCGGGGTAGTTGAAAGAGAGACAAAATCTCGAATTATGTCCCTACCCACAAACAGGGTTTCCATCGAGTCCACGATACCCGCTATCCTCTTCGAGGTCTAGTCAGATCCGAAGTCCGCACGCGTTGTTATCGATACGTCGCTCTTGAAGATAGTCCAAGAACGACCGAAAGCACCGGATCACTGCAATTCTTCGCGTGAAGGGGTTCGGTAGACCAGCTTGATCGCACACACCTTGATATGAAGTGTTCGTCCAGGAACAAGTGGTGGACTCAAGAACATTCGTTGCTCGTCGGAGCTGACCCACCCTGTAGATGCACCCATCGATCAAAGGCGAACGACTTTGATTGAAATGAAAAATGAGCGGAATCGAGCGTCATCATATTCCTGGCTCATTCGACGGGACAGTAGATTCCCCCCTGGGGAGCTGCAATGCTTTTTAGGAAGCTCTCTTTGCTGAGTGAGCTAATGGACTCGAAAGCTGTTCGGATTTCCTCCATATGCGGCGGATGGACGAAATTCTAATCCGCGTACGATAAAGTCTCGATCGTAAATCGTAATGGAATTTCGTCGCATGGTGGTGGAAATTGGTCGCAATCGCCTGTCCAATCGCTCTCCAGCAGCGTTAGCAAACGATCGATGAGTTCGATACCATCCTCATAATCAACTCATCGATGATTTAATATTTTGCGATCAGGAGCGTAGAAAATCGAGGACGCGATCCTCCTCGGATAATACCGAGGCAGTGCACCACGGACTTGTTGCTGGTGCCTCGTGAGGGCGCTGAAACTGTCCAGAGCAGAACAAGTGGGAATGTGTCCACGGTGAGATGAGAGTCCGAAGATGTACCGAGCTCTGCATGCTCTGCGGGGTTCCTCAGAAGAGAACGAGATTCGACCCGATCTTGAAACATCCTTCTCTCATGGGAAAACGGGGGAATCAACCTACAGTGACCAAAATTCCGGCATTGAAATCGTCCCAAGCCTGGACAGGACAGTAGCACGCACGCTTTGGAAAGGTGCAGCGAAAGAACTCTTCACGGCTGAGGCGCATTCACCGGTTCCTTGGCCCTTCAGAACTTGCCGTCAGCGTCTCTCCGATTTATTCTGAGCTCAGACTTCCGTTCGACTGCGGCCTCAACCTGCAATGGGAGCCTGAGGTTCCCGGAAACTCCGGGGCAGACCATTCCGAGGGGCATCCCGTGGGTCCTATCCCCGCGGGGTCTGAAAGTTCGCTCCCCTTATGATGAGTCGCGAGCGGAATCGCTGCGGAGCCCATGATTCCACGGTACGCCGAGCACGTCAGTCGCGACATACGCGAGCGCCCCTCGCTCCACCCTCTCCGGAGCCGCTGCTTTTCGCGGGCTGACGTTCTTTCTCCATGCAGTTAGCCGTCTGGGTTGAGTCTTGCTCTGTCCTGTTCACTGCTGTGAGGTCCGTCACCCCCAAAAGTTGTCGCCGATGGTCAGGACCATCACTTGACTTTAGGTGAGCTCTTCTATTTGGGAAACGCGGCTGAAAAATCTGAGGCGCTCGGTGACGTCAACTGGCAAAGCGATTTGCGAGGTTATTCAACTTTAGTGAGTGAGGTTTCGTGGACACCCTGTTCCCTGCGGTGGTTCTGACGACGACGGCAACGTAGACCATCACTGCCGTCGCTACTGTTTGACAGACCGACGGCCCTCAGACTTCCGAAAATCTGCTTCATCTCCATCGATGTGGCTCCTCGAAAGCGTCTTGAGTGGATTCCGCGGAATCCTCAGATGGAGATAAGACTCCTCGGCCAGAGGAAACCAGGACGGAATCTTGAGCGAGCATCACAGACCGCTGACGCATCTGACAGGACCGTCGATCGAGTGTATAATCGAGAGCCACCATTTCAGAGGGAACCTTATAATGTTCCGAATCGTCGAGAAGGATGGAGATACTCACATATTTAGTGTTGTGAGCAAAACGCTGCTCTGCGTCATTCGCGATAATCGGAAAGCTAAGAAGGTATGTTTAGGGGGGAACCGCGTATTCCGCAGCAGAGTGCGAGGGACCGCTTTTCCACGAGACGAGGGTCGATAAGAAGACAACGGGGGGGGGTCGTCGTGAAGACCAGCAGGAAGGGACCTGCGAGGAAATTCCGTGAAATGCGATCTCCGCGATGGTCAAGTACGGGCCCGATGCTGTAACAGGAGGCGTCGACCTTGAAACTTCGACGGCTCCGCTGCGTGAAATTAAGTCTGTCTCTGTTCCTCCTCCTAGAATGGCCTCACGTATGTGGACACCCAGATCGTTTCAGTGCACGATTCCATCCGACGACGAGAAGCCTCGCGCCAGAAAGCCGAGCTGCTGGCCAAGAAAAACGAGTTCCCCATCCATCTGCCTCCGGAAACCGCACCGCTGATCACGAAGAATTATTACATGTCGGGTTTCGGACTCCAAGCGGCGAAATCACGAACGCAACGAGGGCAGACACAAGCGGTTCAGCAACAACAAGAAATTCCAACGAACCGAGATAGCCCGGAAGAAATGACGTCATGTTCGAAATCGTTTCTGGAGGACGTTCCGTTCTCATCTAACCTCGGACGCAGGTTCTTGAGGGACCGTCAGTGCATCACGAATTATTCAGAAGTGAGTACCGAAGTCCATTTTGCTGATGCATCTCTTTCTATACATTGGGATCTTTGGGATCCGAGCGTCGCGTGTCCGACTGACCCCGCCATCGGCTGAATTCCCTGAATGTTAACGCCGCAATTCTTCCTGCAGCTCCCGCGCTATGAGAGGTACATCAATCGGAAGTTCGGGCCTCCCTTGGATTGTATAACATACCCGTACGTCTACAGAGGGTCGGAATACCCGCAGCCGACACCCCTGAGAACCTATTTATTCGGGAAGCGTCCCAAAGGAGAATATGTAACCGTCAAAAGAAAAAGACCCAATCAGCGCTATTCTCGACGATCGTAGTGAGATTGAGTAAATTGAGAATTTATTCACTTCGGTTGCCGCCACGCTACGCTTCGAGCTGCATACTTTGTACAAACGAGAGAAATTCTAGATTCGTATTTATATTCGTAGAGTTCGTAGACCGTGTGGCCAAACATAGTCAATTAATACTTCATCAACTCATCGGAAGCGGGATAATAGGTGCGAAGCACATCGACCCACAGGTACGCGAATGGAGTGGCTGGATCGACGGGCATACTTTTGATGGTTGTGGGAAAGCGGGGGAGAAGTTCTGATCATAGGACTGGGTTAATGTTTATTCTGTTCTCGGGATCCTATGACGCGATTCTCGTCTCGATGTGTTGTTTGCAGAGCAATAGTGTTAAGGAGATTCTTGCCCGTTTCCAGAGGTCTTCCATGCCGGAGCTTTCCCACGTAGTTCGACAATCGTCTATCTGTATTTCTTCCTCCCCAAACGTTAGAGTGGTTAAGAATGTTGATGGCACCTGTGACTTGGCACTCGGAATTGCTGTGCATAAATATGTGTATATGAACGGACTCAACTACATCGCAACATCAGCTCTTATGCTATCATGAATACTCGATCACGAAATGTACATAAACTGTGACAAGATAGTTTCCAACCGTGTTCAGCGCAGCGGCGCGGCGCAAAGCCACCACAATGACGACAAAGACACATGGACGAAAATTAAAACACTAGATCAGACGTAAATTAAGACAATAAAGTTCGGGTTGTCTTTATTTCCATCGTGATTAATTCAGTAACAACCTATCGTCCAGGGCGACGGCGAGAATCACATATATATATGTATGTAGCGCTCTATGGCAGGTGGATGATAAATTCGGTCGCTGGAATCATCAGAGCACTGCTCCCGTATTGAGCAAATAAGGCTCCCCGGCCAAACACGAAGCTTTGATTCATGCACTTGGTCAGGGCAGAGGCGATTATCATGATTTCAGAGTGACTTTGACCCTGCTCCACGAGTTGTTCAAAACGCCTCTGAGGTTCCAGAGGGGCTCGACTGTGTCCGGTTGCGAGTTGTAGGAAGCATCGACAGCTTTGGATACCAGCTCGACTTCTTTCTGCCCGGGCTTCACTGGAACTCTCGCCTGTGGGTTCGAATGATTTCACAATTATTCCTTCGATTCCGAAGAATTCTTATCGCGCCATTCTTTATCGGGCTCCAAGGAAGTCGATGCAGACCTGCCAGATCGTCCAAGACCATGTCCTGAAGTGGTGAGTATTCTTCTCCTGCTCAACTAGCTCAGCTTCACACCAAGTTTTCCCGCCATCGGCCGACACGTCAACCTGCAAATCGAGAATTAAAACGGGACAGAAATTAGGACGGTAGGTATCCGGATGAAATTCCTCTACCCACCCGAATAGCTCGGGGAGCTTCTCCACAATTGTTCCGATGGGAACTCACCCTGACGATTTTGCGACCGCCGCCAGACCAAGCGTAGCCTCTCAGGAAGACTTTCCCATCTACGATGGGAACCTCACTTCCATCGGCCGGATCGCATATCGAAGAAACAACTGGCAGCTCTTCGATCGCCGGAGCTTTCTTGAAGTCCACGGTGTCCCAATCCACGCTGGGGCAGAAACCTTTATAATCGTTTTGTTGCCAGTGCGAGTCCGACTCGATCTCCGAGAGGACGATTCTTCCCAACCATTTGACGTTGCGAGCACCGACAACCCCGGGGACGATTGCGCGGACCGGGTAACCGTGATCTCTCGGGAGAGTCTCTCCGTTCATTTCGTACGCCAGAATTACGTCATTGCCCGGGTTTAGAGCCTGAAATTTGAGGCCATGATTCGTTTGCTGAACAAGCGGTCCGCTTTTTGAGCGAGCACACCGCGTGTCATAAAATAACACAACAAGATGAGAAAATCTGACCCGTCTCGCAGTCACGGAAGCGCCATACGGTTTCCCCGTCGGATCGAGATCCAGGCCGTCGAATATGACGTGTTGGATGCGAGGGTCATTGCAGTCGACCCTAAGGTATGCCAAAACATCTGTGAGACGTGCTCCCGACCACGTGGCGTTTCCTATCGCCGCCGCGCCCCAATCCAATCCTTTCACCTTCTTGATCTGGAATCAGCGGATGGACGGGGAAAACGTTTTGAGCATTTCACTCGAATACTCGGAGACTCATCTCCCCCAGGAACGGGACTCAAAGAGCGTGCGACGTTGTTTCAGGCTTCGTGCTCACACCTTGTTTTGCTCCGAGCGCCTATTCCCCGCGCATTGGAGGGCCGCCGTTATGGTGACCTTAGGGAATTTGGTCTTGAGATCCTCAAGGGTGAGCGTTTTGGTTCCCTCAATGCCGATACCCTCAACTTCTAAAGCGTACTCCGCCGGTGAGGGATCGGGGACTGGCAGGTGATGTCTCACGTAGAAGAGAGAACTGCGAGAAGGAGATGTCTGATTAAAAAATTCCATCTGGACATGCCCGTGTTGTGGGAAGTCTTCGTACAACTTGCGTCTGCACCTCCGGAAAACACCGTATAATATGGACTTACTTCGGTGTCAGAAATCTTTCCGCTAGAATTTTCAGGGGTGGCTCCGCGTTGAAGGGCTTCAAAGATGCAGGCTTGAGAGCAGGATGTCTCACAGGATCGTTTGCGTATGGATCCTCAGTATTTTTCAGAGCGTCCCCCGAATCGGCGAGGTTACCTATCCTGTACTCCTCGAGCATGTCCAAGATCTGGGGAGATCTTCGTAATCAGTTGAACGACCCTCGCGACTGAGTTTTAGGAATGAGAGCCAGGGATCAGCGATCGGGAAAGATATCTTACGATAGACTCTGTTGTTCACTCACCTCAGGCTTCTTGTGCACTCCATAGATCTGCCAGAAAGGCTCGATAGAGCCCCCGGCACCCAGGAGAATGTTTTCGCCCCCGGGATGTTTCTCAACGAAATCAGTGATATCATAGACCCCTTGCCGATAAGTGACCCAGATACGCTTCTCCTTGGTGTCATGCTTCGAAACCTCTGTCGCATCGTATTCCTTATAACCGAAGACCCTATCGCCGGGGACCCCTTTCGGTTGAGTCGCCGCTGGATAAACATGGATTGATCTTGCTCAATCAGCAACCGAGATGCTTAGTCTGGCCTTGGGGTAGGACATGGGAGCACCAATATCTTACCCTGTAGAGCTCCTCTTCTCTGCGCATAGTATAATCCTCCACCGATAGCCGCAGCGGAGAGACCGAGGAGCCACGGATGTTGACGTTTCCTATCTTCTTCATGACGTCGCCGATGCCGCGAACGACTCTTCGTCACAACCGTAAATGCCGAGAGTCTGTGGATCGAGTAGAGTTTGAGGAGAAGTTCACGCACAGAGAGCCCGAGAAGGTGCTGACATTGCTGTTCCGCTCACAACGAAGCACTGGGTAGGCCGGGCGAGCTCACGGTCGAGAAGAAAACACTTCACGTACAGAAAGAGGAGCGATCTTCGATTTCCTCGCACGAATCGTCGCACCTCACCCCGTCGCTCAAGGATCAAAACCGTCACCTGTCAGAGCGACTTCCCTAACTCACCTGCGAACTTGTTGATTCGCGAGCCAAGCCCTCTCCGCTGAAAGTCTGCTTAACCACATAGCTGATAGAGCTGGAGGAAGAGGACAACATGATATTGTTCAATCGCTTCTTGGCGGCTGACTGACGGACGTCTTGAGGGAAGAGCAGACTGTGGAGGCGAGCGCGTGATTCGAAATCCTTCCATCTGACGAAGCTTCAGTGTGACATTGGACGGGTGTAATTCTCCGTAACGGAAGTTGACAGCGCTGATCTTGAAAATTCGGGGAAATGCCGCGATATTTCGCTACGAAGTCTCCAATCGCTTCTTGAGTGACCAAAGGCTACGAAGCGACCTTCCGAACCCCATGGACTCCATGGGATCTGAGGATCCCGCAGTGCAATCCCCGACCCTCCCGGCATGAGTGAGATGGGGCATTCGGGCTTGATATAGAGAATAGACTTCGCGACGTTCCACCGTATGCGACTCATCGTCAGATGATGAGCAGAGAGCGGGCCATATCCACTCAACGGGAAAGGGAACCGAGTCCAAGGCTCAAGCATTCCCCGGAGTGTTTTGACTCGCACTTTCGTCACCCTCAGCAGCTGGATTTCCCCGAGCGTCCTTGAGACTCCTCCTGGGAAAATAAGAGTGATGAACATCATGAGAGATCCGCCCAAGGTATACAAGCGCTAGTCGCGACTCGCGACTACACCACATCCGAATTTTGAAATGACCGCCTTGGAGACAAACACATCTGACTCCCGGGTATAATCCGACCCGGTCGCGTTCGTTTCTACTCAGCGAGGCTTACTTCTTCTTCGGGAGTGTTGATCCGACTGAACGAAAACTTATATCTCAAAATGTCAGGGAATGCAACGGCAGCTTTGGCTGTGAGTGGAACTCGTTCCACTGGAGAACCAGTGCGGACGCAGAACGGTGAGTTTCCAGAGTGAATATTTAGGATTCTATCTCGACAGGGCACGTGCGCTTACCCGCGTCATGTGGAACCGCGCCTTGCCTTTTCAATTTCATCAGTCTTCAAAACCACTCCGAGGCTCTGGCATTGCGCCACAATCGAGGGGTACCCTTCTAGATCTTTCCTCGGTCTCTCCGATACAGCCGAACATTCCGACTGTTGACTCAGATAGAAAATAATGAAATACCCATATAAGGATTTACGGGACGGGGAGCCATGGGCCGGACGCGAGAGTCGGCCTTTTTCGGCATTCGCTACGTCTCTGCTCCATCGAGAATGGTTTGTTGAGCCTGAGAAATTGAGGAAGAAGTCGTTGATTCCTTTGTGTCGTCTAGCGATCAGAGAACGATGACGCGTGTCAAACGACTTGCCAAATTTTCCCATGGAGATAGAAGAGTCTCGATTCAAGCGGATTTTCATCGAATGTTTCCTTCAAAGCGAGAAACTAAGCTGATGGAGTCATTAGTCTCGGGTCATCTAATTCGATACCGGATCGGGGATCATGGGTGCTGCATCTCAACTCGACTCTAGGATTGGATTCGATTTTCTCTTGCAGTCATGGCGGCGGCATCCATCGCTAACATCGTCAAAAGTTCCCTCGGACCTGTCGGGCTCGACAAGATGCTCGTCGACGATATCGGAGTAAGTGCTCGCGGCGAACGGGGATCCTACCCGGGGAGCCGTCACGATCCCGGCGTATATCGATTTCTTTCGCTCGCCCTGAAAGGTTCCTCGCCTCAATTCCTTAAATTCTCCCCCCTCAGGACGTCACCATCACAAACGACGGAGCCACGATCCTCAAACTCTTAGAAGTCGAGCATCCCGCAGCGAAGGTTCTTTGCGAGCTCGCCGAACTACAGGATCAGGAAGTCGGTGACGGAACCACATCGGTTGTCATCATTGCCGCCGAGCTGCTGAAAAACGCCGATGAGCTCGTCAAACAGAAAATCCACCCCACCACCATCATTTCTGGATACCGGCTCGCTTGCAAGGAAGCTTGCAGATACATCCAGGAGAACTTGACCACAACCATCGAGGAGGCGGGGCCCGAATGCCTCCTGAATGTCGCGAGAACTTCTATGTCTTCGAAAATTATCGGTCCCGACTCGGAATTCTTCGCCAAGTTGATCGTCGAGGCTGCGCAAGCCGTCAAGATCTCCGATGGCAAGGGCGGTTTCAAGTATCCCATCAAGGCGGTCAACGTGTTGAAAGCCCACGGAGCTTCAGTTCGAGAATCGGTTCTTGTCCACGGATACGCACTCAACTGTACGATCGCTTCGCAGGCCATGCCCAAGATCGTGAACAACGCTCGCATCGCCTGTTTGGACTTCTCGCTCCAAAAAGCCAAGATGGCCATGGGAATTCAGGTGCTCGTCAGTGAACCCGAGAAGCTCGAGGCGATCCGCCAACGTGAGATGGACATCACGAAGGAGCGCATCACGAAAATTCTCTCCGCGGGAGCGAATGTCGTTCTCACCACGGGTGGAATCGACGATCTCTGCTTGAAGTACTTCGTCGAAGCGGGAGCCATGGCTGTGCGGCGCTGCAAGAAACAGGATCTCAGACGCATCGCCAAAGCGACGGGCGCGCAGCTGTTGGTGAATCTCTCGAATCTCGAGGGTGAGGAAACTTTCGAGGCGTCCATGCTGGGCGAAGCAGAGACCGTCGCTCAGGAAAGAGTCAGCGACGAACAGCTGATCCTCATCAAGAAGCCGAAAGTGCACTCGGCCGCCTCCATCATCGTGAGGGGCGCGAACGATATCATGGTTGATGAGATCGAACGATCGGTGCACGACGCTCTCTGTGCCGTGAAACGTGTCCTCGAATCGAAGAGTGTTGTTGCCGGTGGAGGAGCCGTCGAAGCGGCCCTCTCGATCTATCTCGAGGGCTACGCGACTCTCCTCAGCTCTCGGGAACAACTCGCTGTCGCTGAATTCGCGCGATCGCTGCTCGTCATTCCGAAAACGCTTGCCGTGAACGCCGCCAAAGACGCTACGGATCTCGTCGCCAAACTGAGAGCTTACCACAACTCGTCTCAAACCAACGACGACCACGTCAGTTTCAAGTGGAGCGGACTGGACCTCATCGAGGGTGTCGTTCGCGATAATCGCCAAGCGGGAGTTCTCGAGCCGACCATGAGCAAGGTGAAGTCGTTGAAGTTCGCCACCGAAGCCGCGATTACGATTCTCCGAATCGATGACCTCATCAAGCTGAATCCTAGCGACAAACGAATGGACGAGGATGACTGCCGTTGAGCTACGTGCTTGCCGTCGTTATCGAACTAGCGGCCGATGTATTTATTTAAAATGATTTCCATCGCTGCTGGAGTATACTCTACCCAATGAATACAATAAAAGCACTTCCGCCTTGGGCCGTCTTCGAAGTCTATTCTCCGAACTCTCGAGTTTCCTCGTTGAACTTCTATTCAGGTGGAGTCCTGTCCAGTCCGATTGTTCCTCATCGTGCCTTTGAATCAGGCATGCTCCGAGGATCTCCCAAGGCATACATGAGCGCAACTCCTCGAATAATCGTCTTCGGAATCTCCATACTAGAGAACGCCGATATGGGTCATGATAGTCATTTGCATTTATTGGAAACATCACAGAGTGTACAATTTAGTTTAGCAGACGTTGGTGAGCCCTTGCATTTCAACATCGGTGTCCTAAGTCATCACGTATCGTTATGGTACAAATTAGCAATTTCAAAACTTCGTGACAACTATAAATACCCTGCGATCAAAGGCGAGTCACCGTTGCAAGTCCACGCGCCCCCCAACCATGAGCTGATAATATTTTTGCTTGTTTCACAAATTGCCAACAAACTGTAGGTGCCTCATGATGTGTGCTCATGCCGTGCTCGCGATCTGCTCAGAGGATTTCTTCGGTCGAATCGGGATAGAAAAGGAGCGAGGAGAAAAATGAAAAAAGGGGAAAATTTGAAGATTCAACGAACCAAGACTAAGGAACGATGGAGTCTTCTGGAAATGAACCGAAAGGTAAAGAATGGTAGAATGCGAATCTTCCTCCAATAACCACCAGTGATAGAGTCAGACTCGGGATCCTGCCTTCTCGAACAGCGTTCTTTCCCGCGAACCATGGCGGATCGGAGCGTGGACGAGAAGGAATGGAAAAAAATGAGAAGCAAGGGTGAGGCTTAATGCCTCGAAAATCGACCACCGAAATCCTGGGATGCGACACTACAGAGCACAACGTCAAAACGTTCCGGTCACACAAAAAATATTAACTTTTGTAGATATTATTCGGAGTTAGAAACGTCCGCTAGAACGAGTTCTAGTCAGGAGCAATTATCGTATAAGAGTTTGATTTTTTCCGAGAAAATCGCAGTCATGTTTTTGTCCAGACCCGCAGAGGTCTCGGTCGAGTACCAGCCATTGCTGGGACGACCTCAGCATCATGGACCTGATGCCCCGGCCAATTCGGAGTGCTAATTGCTGGGCTTGGCTTTGCGAGCCATGGGGCAGTACTTGATTGTATGAGCAAAATCGCCGCCCCCGTTGTTGCAGATCGGGCAGTTGTATTCACGCAGAACTGGACACGTTACTTTGCCGTCGTCCGAACGCAGAGAGTGACTCTGATACACCTCTGGCGGATCTCCGTTCGTTTGGCAGAATCGGCAGAAGCCTAGTTGCGAAGTCGACACCGGTATCAAGCGAGGTTTCATTTCTTCTTTCACCTGGGGAGACAGGAAATGAGCCTATCGACTTCGGGATATTCCAACTGAGATTCCCCTACGCTCGATGAGCGACTAAATATGGGAACCGGCCGCACGCGACAGCGTATCGATCAGATAATCATCAGTAATAACTAAATCATGATTCATAATGAATGACAGAAGCTAATTTCGTCAGTCTCCATTACCTTGATGAATGTCTCTTCGTTGCAACAAGTGCATATAAGCCTTATCTTTGGAGTCATGCAGCACGCGGACAAAGTGACCGTGAATGTCTTCGCGGGCTTCGGTTTCTTGTGTTTCATCGGGCGTGGGTTCTTTTGAACCACTGCACTCCACGTCGTGGAGGGCGAATGTTGTGAGTTCACCGACTCTGTCGAGCCAGCAGATGAAAGGGAACCAGCTGGAAATCCACGACACCGAGCAATTGGACTACCCCATGAAGCACGTAAAGCCTCGGTAAGCCATATAAGTCGAGCAGGTGATTTTCATCCATTACTCGAGAAAAAAGGTCGCTGTATTGGCGCTATTGAGCGGTGAAGTCTCTCTGGTATTCCGGTGATCGCTAAGATTGTCAGCTCATTCAAGCCGGGAGCGTTGTGTTCAAGACTCACTTTTCCTATTTGTTGTGTTCGACAAGAAGGAACTCGATTGTTCGGTCAGCTTGCTCAGTTCTCCGGTCTGCATGCTGGCACGGAACTTGTGCAAGGGATCGTCGCTCCTTTGGGGAGACCATGACGGTAGTTCACCTTGCGACGCGTTACTCGAATGTCCTACCAATATGAAGAGAAGGAATGAGCGGAAACGACGATGAGGGCCGCCTCTCTAGCGGAGCTGGGATCTGGGAGTGCCCGAGAATCTCAGCGTTATTACCCATGAGCCTCCCGTTGGGATAAAATGCTCAAGCGGTATAATTACGGGAGCTCTAGTGATTTCCGACGTGTCAGACGAACAATACTCGAGCTCGCTCGCGTGGCTGGAATCGGCGAGACTCACGAGAGAGCGGGGAATAGCCCGTGGACTCGAACAGATCGTTCGGAATATGTGATCTGAGATTCCGGCGGCGGCGTGAATATATTCATCGCTCACGTGGAGAATTTTTTTCCCTTGAGATCTGCTCAAGGAAGCGATATGGTGAGCTTCCGCGGCTGAATAAACTCTATCGAAGCAAATACAGATGTCCCCGCTCCGAGTACCGATTGCTCCGAGGAACCGTCAGCTTTTCCCGTTTGAGTTCAGGGAAAAACAAGAATCCTCAACCATAATTTCGGGGAATTCGGAAGGGGAGGAGAGTATCCGGCATGACATGACTACCCGTCTTACAATGAGAATCGGAGACGGGCTCAGGATATTCCCGATAAGCTACATCATCCAGGTGATGAAAGCATATAGCAGCGGGAACTCATTCCCCGGGGCTGCTTTGGGAAAGCGATTTTTTGCCGGGTCGAAGGCATCATCCGGGGCTGTTTCGAGCTAGACTGTTGCCATTGTATCGAAGGGGTATCCTACCTGGGATAGCTCGAATCTATGGCAAGCTCTAGAATCGAAGAAGAGTCGCCCCGCACTTTGAAAGGAGTCAACGGGAAGCCCGAGAATACCGAGTGAGCTTCCCCGCACGTGTTCCCGACTGGGGATGTCGATGAAATTCTCCTCAGACGGTTTAAACTCACCACTCGGAGCGAAGCTGAAGCTGTAACCTTGGTTGAAGCTTATTGCCGGCGAAAGATTTCTGCGGTCTTCGCTCCATGGATCCGATGCGAAGGGATCCTCGCAGTGATCTGGAATAGCCCAATGCTCAGTGAGACCCGGTGGCGATTTGTCAGAATCCTTCGTGTCAGTCGAAGTGCCGGCGAGAGCGGCTGCCGCATTCGGATGCCATGGGTCCCGCTCGGTCAGGGCGCTAAACGGCCACATTATTCAATATTACCGCTCAACCTGTGGAGCTTATTCGACTTATACACGTCTTCGAATCATGTCCTCCTTGGCGGCTGCCATGGAAACCTTCACGGTGTGCCCTCGCCCGCCGAGCGGCCTATCGAAAGCAAAGACTCACCTCTAGGCCAAGATAGCGATAGAGAGCTCAGCGCGATATCCTGGAGCCCACTTTGTAACATCTGCATTCTGCGACGATCGGGACCACCGAGATTGTCTACCAAACACAAAATTGATTTTCAAACAATGACTACCGATTAGAATTTGGATAGCAATCTCAGACTCGCTCGGAAGGCCAACAACGAATGACTTTGCCAGACTCTCGCTTGCAGGCGTAGAGCTTTCACTTGGAACGTTCTCGTGACAACTACTTCGGACGTGCAACTTCGCGATCCATTTGATGCGCCTGTTCGACAAGTGCTCTCCCCATGCCGATCGGGATCCAGCCGTAGCTGAACAACTACTTATTCCGGTTTTGATTTCCCGTCGAAATATATTCTCTCGAGAGAAACCCTAGCTAAGGATCAGAGCAGATTATGCATCGGAAGCTGGAATGCTGCGAATGATGATGTCCCACGATCAAGACGACGGGAAGGACGCATCCTCGCAGAATCGACGCTCCTTCTTGGAGCATCTGTGCAGTTCTCTGCATCGGTCGCCGCGAGGGATGTCATGTGCCGTTTCCGGATCCAATGAGTGAGGATTGATCCGAGGAATGTGGCTCTCTTAGGTGCTCTTTGGGCTCATTTTCGAGGCTGATTTCCACACGACCCAACGGGTCTAGGCCTGGGTTTCGGGCTTGGGGGAATCAGGAAGTGAGGATCTCAGATTCAGTTTACCTTCGGAGAGGTCGGAAATTCGGCCCAGGCTGTGATAATGTCAACGAGGTCGTGAGTCGTGACTACCGAAAGGTGTGTCCCTGGCACAGAAACTGATACTGTGATGAGGTCGAATCAAAAGGCTCACATGAGAGTTGCGGGATAGGCCCTTCCGAGCGAGGACTGAGAGAGATGTTGGTGTACGATGAAAATCAAGTATACATGGTGGGGCAGTATAAATTCCCCATTTTGAATGATCCCCATGAAATACGAACCAAGGCGGCTAGCGGAATTCTGCTTGCAGTGGAATGACCACGAGGACTTGCAGTTTCAGAAAAAAATCCTCTGGTCCGAGGCTCCTAACCAGGTGGCCGTTCAAAGTTGACTTTTTGAGGTTCTGTTAACGTCATTCTCATAAAGCTCGGTATTGATTTCTGTGGGAAAACCCATTTTCCTCGTTTTCCCGCTTATTCTTGTTCTCCAGCTTGGAGACATCGGACCAAATGAATGTTTTCCTGAGAGGGCGAGTCCTCCTAAACATTTTGCCGCAAACAGGACTTCGCTAGCCCTCATGGTTCGGATTTCATGAGCAAAACGAAATGGGGAGAATATACTGCCCCACCTTGTACTTCTTTGCCCCCGGTTGGGTCGAAATACACCGAATCCAACCGAAGAGGACAATTCTCCTTCCGATTTTTTCCCTGCGGAATCATCCACGTCAGTGCATTAGCATGGGCGAGCCGCCTATATTTCGCCGAGCAATAGCGGGCTCCCTCTCGAGTATGATGACTCTCTGAGACGGGGCAAATATTACTTCGGCAAGCTTCGCCAAGCCCAGCGTCGTAGTTCGAGATGGCATTGAATAGATCCGCTCGATTGCTGAGATACATTTGACTGCTAGAACAGAATGCTAACGTGTAATAATGCGAACAAGGTCAATAGAGCTATCGATGGAGTGCCATAGGATTTTTAGCATCGCAAACCACGATTGAGTGAGCTGACAGCAGGTGTGGAATGCATCCGGGGGAAGGAGGGGAGCTTGTGCGGTGGAAATCGATTTCGGTCCATCAGGAGTTCGCGCCCATTGTCTGTGGAACGGAGTGATCCACTTTCGTTTCTAAAAATATGAATACGGAGGGGAACTCTGTACAAAATCTTTATTCTTGACTTGAGTGAATCCAAATACGAAAACCTCTATTTGTATACGGAGGCGAAGTAAAAAACTAGAGTAATCCGTCAAATACATTCTGAAATTCCAAAGCTTTCCCCCTTCTTTGCTCAAGGCGTCAGGGTAGTGAGCTCGAAGTCATTATTCTCACGCAGAGTTCTCTTGAAAGCCCGAGAGCACTTACGGAGCCCCAATTCACACCGACGGATTTCGCGAGCGTCCAGCAACGCCGTGTCGGTCGAGTTTCGTACGAAGATCGCGCACGTTGCTCCGCCTCCGCCGATAGTGTCGATGTTGGTGATCACTGAAGCACGGATGGTAATGTCAATGATAAGTCCGAAGACTTTTCGAATGGAAGCGTCTGACTAACTCCTTTTGAAACCACGATTCTCGCCGGGTATGATTTACCTCCGTCGACGGTGTTAGACCCTCCGAACCTCACTCTCGCTACCATGCACTGGTTCGTTTGACTATGCGTCGGGATGAACGTCAGGCTGATCGGGGTCGCCGGAACAGCTGTATTGTTGTTCGTGGTATTCTCGACTGGCACTGGAGATATGATGACCGAGTCCAGATCGTAGGCTCGGTTTTTGTAGATTCTGGGATTGGGAGAACAATCGGTGAGGCTTGAAGGTTTGCATGTGGCAGATATCACTCGCCGGAAAGGGCGTCATGATGAGCCTGCCGACTCGGGCTCCCCGGAGGACACCGGGCCGGCCGGCGGAAAGATGTGAAGGTATACGATCTTTCCTCAGCGTCTCTCTGTCGCTCGAATCAAACTCCGCTCACCCATGTCTCCGGTTTAGTTGACTGCCCCGGAAAGCTCCGACTGTGGCCAATCCTAAAATTGGATCCTGACCATTTCCGAAGTTCAAGAGGACCGCTCTCTGGTTCGCCGAGAGGCTGACACTGGTCGGTGCAATGGACAAGTTCGGATTCACCGCTAATGTATTCGCCTCGTAAATTCTCCAACCGCTCCGCGCAGACAGAAACTAGAGTGGATACACGATTTAGGGAGATGAAGTCCATGGCTTCGCAGCCTGGCCATAAGATTGAGGAGCCAACTTTTCAGTATTTCTTCTCGGAGCCCGATACACTCACCGTTATGGCTGGGTTACGCGATAATTCACCGAGTCCATCAGTAGCTCTGATCACCAAGAATGCGACTAGAATGAATCGGAACATTGCGATTAGTGAGCTGGGCTCGGATGAGCAACGCTGGTTTTTATTCGACCTGACAGATATTTGTCAGGGTGGTGTTGCGACAACACGCGATTCTGCGCCTCGAACCTAGCGGGTATGAATCCGATATATTTATTCCTAGGATTATCATATTCATTGCATCCTTGTGCGACATCTCCAACGCATGGAGCCTGCGCCGGTAAATTGATAAATGTTCCGGGCGTCTGAAAACAATGCTACACCACAATAGCTAAATGTAACTAATCGCGATGTATGACTATCCCGGCCGACATCTCCCTCACGTCCGACAAAGCCTTGCAACGACGTTTGAATTGCCTCCCCGTTCTCGCTCTTGTTGGACACTTCTACAAAGTCATTATTGAAATTGAGGTTCAACTTGCCTGTGATTCGTGATGTTCTCGCCCAGTGTCCCCGGGTCTCCCAGTGTTTCCGTTCCGTCCGGATGCCAAGGCTGCCGAAGCTCAAATTGCATGTTCCGCAGGTTGAACCTCGGACGAATGCCCACAAGAGTGAAAGTCCTGGGAATTCTGTCCCTCCGGGGATTTCAGATACCCGCCCCCGCAAATCAGTGGGTGATGGTCAAGCCGGTCCGCGGAGCTATAAATATGTCGTCGAGTCCGCCTCAGTCCAAAGCTCACTGCGAACACCCTTTGAGAAAATGCTGAAAGCTCTGCTGGTCTCGTTCCTGCTCCTCGCTGTTTGCGTGGGTCCAATCGTGGGCTCGCAAGGCACGTCTCAACAAGACTCACAGCGTCCTTATCCGAATTATGGGCCTGATCATTACGAGTTTCTTCATTACCATCCTTACCCGTACGGACATCCTCACCCTCCAGAATACTTCGCTCATCCGCCCGGATATCCGTACCCGAGACCCGGCGGTGCCTACGCTTACAACCGCTGAGTACTAAAACTGATTCCATCTCGAATAAATAAAGTGTTGCGATTGAAACCAAGACTCGATATCTTAACTCTGCAGCTCCGAGCTGGAGCATCGCACGTAATGATCTGGAGGGGAACGATTCCCATCGAAGTCTGGCTCGATATTCCATTTCTCAGGTGGTCGATTTTCTTTGACCTGCCGGTCCAAAGTGGCACTGGTAGCAGGGATATCTGCGGACTGAGCAATTGTCTCGTTGTACGCTTTCCAGAAGGCTCAGCTGTGAAGCTTCGATTCTGGAAGACGTCGATGGAATCGTCTCCTAAAGCTCCTGCAGAAAAATGAGCGAACAAGATTCCCGAGTCCGAGATCGGCACGCTAGATGCGCTCGACGGAAAACATGGTATCGATTCGAAGTCTGGTCTGCGATCTCTAAGAGGAATTCCCCCCCCTCGCAATAGGGTCGGCTCTGAGCTGAATGGAAGTTTCTAGGTTTCGGATCCATCCTGGGATCGGAGATTTTTCATTCGGTCTAGTACCATCTACCAGGATTTCATTCAGCTGACGGGACTAGACAAATATTGTTCTTCGATTGCATGGATTCAAATTCCCTGAAGCTCCGCGCGTTCAGCCCTCATTCCCCCGGGCGAGCATGGTAGGGAAAATGAAGCCAATATTCAAAGCCAGGGCAAACTTTTTTTCTCATACGAAGCTGAAGTTCGCCGACCGGAATGCGACTTCGCCTTCGGTGTTTATGTTGAAGGTTCCCCGTGGATCCCATGAGACGTTCTGGAGCGGGAACGAGGTTGAGAGGAACGTGGCGAGTCCCGGATCTCAGTGAAGGAGCGAAGTTTGAAATATAGAGTGTTAATGAAGAAGCCGCGCGAGGCTTCGGGAACTATTTTCTAAGCTTTCGAGGGCCAAATGCATCAACTCTGAAGTTTGTTGAATTCCGCATCGTACTCGAAAGGCCTCTCTCGAAGAGGTCGAATAGAGTGGCGGTGGATGAGCGGAGAGAAGTCGAAGCTGAGCTCTGCGTATTCTGGATCATGAAAAGCTTCGGCTTCGGGAATTCATGCTAGCGGCGTCAGTGTCGATCAACAATCTTACGTATAAACTCTCGCTCGACTGGAATGCTTCCGGGCGATTTCTCGAGCTCGGTATTAGAAACATGAAAAGAAATGCTAGTGCCAATTGAAATCTCTAGTCCCAACAAATAAAAAATCCACAGAAATTCCCATGGTATAAAGCGATCCCTATTTGACTTTCCGAGCAAGCGGAGAACCGTCTGTCTTCGTTATCCGCGGGGGCGTCGGCGGCGCTTTGGTTCTCGAGCCCGGCTCATGTGATTCTGAGAAGATGATGATAGCCTCTGGGAGTTTCCGGGGGCCGGACTCCGGAGCCGTCCGAATGTTTGTATGGCGACCAAAATAATGGTTTCTGAGCTTTGTCCCGCACTGCTCCAAAACCTTGCAACCTGGACGAGCATAGACAGTGACTTCATTCAAAGTTGTTGCCTTTGACCTTCGGAGCCCTCCGCCTCCTTCTGCGATGGAGCGGAATGCAACGCATTCCCACAGTAGTTCGATAGGATTTTCTGAGCGCCGGTGAGAGAGTTCTGAGGCTTCCCTCGGATAGGATCAGAATCGGCTCCCGTGAATCTGATCTGTCGGGAAGGAATTCGTAGAAGCCATCCCAGAGGTTGCGCTCGAGCCGAGAGCCGGCACTAGTTTTGAGAGAAATTCGGAGCCAGAGGGCTGTAGAATAGGACACATGCTCAGGTGTTCCGGTAATAGAGAGAACCGCAAGTCATTTGTCCGTAGCGGGTCTCTATTCGGCTATCGAATAACGGGAGGAGCCAAGAGCCAAGGACGGATTCAGGAGAAAACATGAACAGACTCTCGGGCCAGGAGGGATGTTGTCGAAGGGAATGAGTAGACGGGACGAACGAGATGGACGGGCCGGGTGAATGCTTGGGTTCTGATGCGAAATGGGTCGGAAGTCTCTTCGACTCATGAGGCAAGAGTATTGAGTTATGAGGGGTCGGATTGCGATTGGGACTGAGAATCCCCTTCGTCAATGTCAATCATTTCAACAGCCACTCTGATGGTGGAACCGATGGCTGAATAATTCTTCAAGAGTTTCTTGTGATAACATGTGCGAAGAGTCGCTCCTCATGTTATCGATACGTTTCAAGGATTCGATTATTTTTCCGATAATCATTCAGGGCTCGAAATCGTTGAGGAGGCCGCGGTCGACCGTCCGTGAGACCCACAACTCCGTCCCCTACCAATGACGTTTAACGTCACGTGTCAAGAAAACTGCAAGACGAAACGAATTCGATCGAGGGAGGTCGCAGGAATGAAGATCTGGTGGGAGCAAGATGGGAGCATGTCGCGGTACGTTGTAATTGTGTTTTCGGATTCGGAAATCGAGTCTCTCCGGACCTTGCCTGGGACGAAATTTCACAGGCGACTCCGGCCGTTTCCATCTCCTTCCCTATGGAATCGGAAATATTGTGGTTCTCGAGCACGTCATTCCCCTTACATTGATGCTCATCGAGAAACATGAATTGGAATTCGATGGGGTCCAACCGCAATCTTCCAACGATTCGTTATCGAGGAGTTCTGGGGGCGGTCTTACCCAGACGACGGATCAGTCGAGTGACCGTGGGATCGTTTTTGAAGAAAAGCTCTCAATGGATTATTTCGTACAGGAATCCGTATATCTGGTGGGATACGTCATTCTCTGGCTCCTGAAGTTTGTGTCAAGATTCGGACTCATAGATATCATCGTCCTGAGGTGGTGGCGTTTATTACTCGTTCCAATCAAGATGTCCCCCCTTGCCGCACAAGGATGTAATTCAGCGAAGAAATATGATGAGAAACACATTGCCTCCTCACTGTCAATCATTTCATCACTCGCAAGCGCGATCTATCGAGGAGTATTCCGAATCGAGCGCCCCTAGTGTCTCCTCTCTCAGCCTCTCTCCGCTGAAGCAGGTTATGAACTGCAGATTAATCGAACTCTCTTTTGTTTGTTGCGCTCTTCGAACGAAGTGCACCGGCCCGGCAGCGTTCGTTTCGCGTGGTTTGAGTTGCTCCCGCTCCAGACGAGATAAGCCATGGCTGGATCCGGCTCCGATCTGAAGGCTCAACTGATCCGCGATATACTCAAATATGAGGCTGTCAAGTTTGGGAGTTTTACCCTCAAAAGTGGAGTCGTTTCACCTATATACATGGACATACGAGTCTGCGTTTCTCATCCAAAATTTCTCACAGCTATCGCCGAAGCCGTAAGTCAAGCGCCGCTCCGGCGGCTATGTTTATTCTGAGTCCATTCGAACGAGTCATCCACTTCAGACTCCTTTTCTAGGTCGAGCAGACCCTGAAGGCCGCGAATCTGCGCTTCGATCACCTCTGCGGCGTACCGTACACGGCGCTCCCGATCGCCACGTGCATATCCACTAAAACGCATCAACCGATGCTGATGCGCCGTAAAGAAGCGAAAGCTTACGGTACAAAACAGATAATAGAGGGAAAATACCGCGCAGGTTCGTTTCTTATACCGATCCACACTAACTTCGGTGCTCTGTATCCTCCTCTACCGTGATCCCCTCTGGACTACGCCGATTCCCCCTTCAGGTGACAAAGTTCTCGTGATTGAGGATATAGTGACAAGTGGTTCTTCGATACTGGAGACAGTCAAGGTTCTTGAAAACGCCGGTCTCACTGTGAGTCTTGCCTGCTTTCGAACATGCACTCATAGGTCGCTCCGGAAATACCGCCTCATCAAGGTCATCGCATTAATTCATCGTCTAAGGTGTCCTTCTCGGATCCACAGGTGACAGACGCGATTGTCCTCATCGACAGAGAGCAAGGCGGGAAGGGGTACTTGGAGGAGCGCGGTATAAATCTCCATCCCGTTCTTAAACTCTCAGAAATCATCGATCGTTTGGAGGTAGAAAGTGAGTGAGAGGCAACTCCAGTAGTTTCGAAAGAATAGTCATTCAATTTGATGATCTCGGCTTGGAAATCCGGAGAAGCTCACCTAGATCCAGCTGTCCTCCTCCCCCTCTCCCGCGGCAATCCTTCGTTGAGTCAAACTGAAAGGGATTCGAGGAGATTCTCGAGTCCGAGAGGGAAGATGGGGGAGCGGAATGCATTATGTCCTCTTGCGCGACCCTGCTGATTATTATTCGTATTTCCAGACCTCATCCAAGCCGATGTGGCGCAACGAAGCCGGGAGTTCATACGCACGGTGAAACCGTCGCTCACGCCAGCCGCTGTGGGTGTCGGAGAGCGCGCTTCCTTCGAAGGAAGGGCCCGTTCCGCGAAACACCCTGTGAGTGCGAAACTTCTGAAATTCGTCAACAAGAAAAAGACCAACTTGTGTGTGGCCATCGACGTGGAAACAACAGCCGAACTGCTCGAGCTAACTTCGAAGGTCGCGCCTTATGTTTGCGCAGTGAAAACACATGTCGACCAACTCAGTGATTTTGTTTACGAGAAGGTTTGTTTCGGCATGGGAATTGCATCCGAAAGTATTCTAAAAATTTGGACGAGTAAGGCAACACTTCATCCTCCCTTGCGATTCTTCCCCGAAATCGATTACCATATGTATAATACCCTGCCGTTCTTGCGTAGGTCATTCCAGAGCTGAAGAGATTATCAGAGGAACACAGCTTCTTACTATTTGAGGACCGCAAAATTCGGAGATATCGGGGAAACTGTCCGAGCTCAATATGGCGGGGGAGTCTTCAAAATTTCCGAATGGGCTGACATTGTGACTGTTCACGGTGTTCCCGGCGCTGGAGTTATCCAGGGTCTCAAGTCGGCCGCATCGGAGAAAAATGCCTGTATTATCGTTGCAGAGATGAGCAGCGCTGGAGCTCTAACCGATGACTCGTACAAGAAGGCATGCGCTTCCATGGTTGAATCGAATGCCGATTTCGTGATCGGCACGGTGTCTCAGAGCCGCGTCGTCAAGTCCCCCGAATTCATCCAGTTCACACCGGGTGTCAACTTCGAACTGAGCGGCGACGGGAAGGGACAACAATATGTCCCTCCTGAAGTAGCTATAAGCGATCGAGGAGCGGATATTGTTATCGTGGGGCGAGGGGTGACGAGGAACGGAGATCCGGGTGATCGCGCGAGAATTTACTCAGAGAGAGCATGGGAAGCTTATGAGAAAGCGACAGGGAATTGAATAAATTTCATCATATTCTCTGCCGAGACTAGAAAAAGTCTGCTCGGGAAATGTCCGGATTATTCGTATGTTGGTGCTCCAGATCACAAGTGGCGCGGCGTATCCTTGGGGACTGCGGGGAATTTATCGCTTGCGCGGCTCCTTACTTCTGCCAGACTCCCCATCCGTGATGCTGATGTATAGGAACGGGTCGTCTGAGCCCCCGGGTCCCCCTCTCGCCCGTGCGAGAGAGCCGAGGACGCTCCGGCGAAGATGCACGGGGAAAGATAGCGGCTCAATTCCACGAAAAAACTTTCTTCCCCTGTATACCCTGACCTACGGGTTCAGGCAGAATCCCGCGGAGAGAAATGACTCCTCATATCCTCTGAATCTTACAACAACTTTCCATACGAAGATAGATACCTAGCTCTTGCCTCCCGATTCTGGTTCGAGAGAAAATATACGTATCACCACGGGAGAACTCGGTAAAAATTAGTTCGAAGTCCGAGCTTTACAACCGGCAGACTCCAGAGGTAGGTGCTCCGACTACAACTTTACGAGAGTGGCCTCAGGAGTATCTACAACTCTGTTGACCGTACCGAAGTTCAAAGGAGGAACGCTCTCTGCGGGGAGTGCGAAGGGAACTTCGTACCGGGCTCCCAAGATCTTGTCGGGGAGTCCAGTACATCCATTTCTCCAGTTCCGGATAGCTTCCAGCCAGGACCGTCGAGAAGTGGTTCGGCTAGTCCCCTCGAACAAAAAACAATACGGAGCCGATGCGGCAGGTTTTGCGGCCCCGATCGTCATGGGTGGAGATATCTGTAGCTGAGCTAGGATCGGATGAATCTTTTGTACCATAACATCGGAAGGGTCTCCGGAGGTTTTTGCGGGAGGAGCTTCCCCACGGGGCCGCTTAGTGACTTCTGCAGGATCAGAATCTGACGATGAGTCATTGTTGTCGCTCAACAGCGACTTGGCCGAACCGATTTGTGCTGCCCCCAATCTATCGGTGTTCGGGATATCAGATTCCGAACACCGGTGTTCGGGATATCAGTTTTCGGGATTTCGGTTTTCAACTGGAGCTTGCCCCTCGATTTTCCAATGACTCCAAAAGGTGGCCTTCGATTGAAGCATGCCCGTTCAATCGAGCATGACCTTCAATATGAGGAGATGCGGTCGAATCAGTATTCGATTCTACAGTGATCAGTAATATCTGAACCATAGTTTGAGTAGCGAGAGTAGCGAGTCGATCTTCTCTACAACACGGCGCTATGCCGATAAAATTCGTTGTAGGTGGTGGGTAGGCTGATGTTCTGTGTAGATGGAGCATAGATTATATAGATTCGAGAAAGGGTTAGCTCAGAGCCGTTCGGAGAGTGGAGAAGACAAAGCTATGGATCACTCCCATGCGAGCGAGCAAGCGAGTAGCTGTCCTCCCTGAACTATGGACTCGTTGACCGGGGACATCCGATATGCCTCCACCACAACATCTTCTCGATTCAATGAGAGCGGAATATATCAAATCCACGAGAATCGTGAGCGGAGAGACCTCATGCTGACCAGCACAGCGAAGCCTTTCTGACGATTTGCCGCCCTCCGTGAAAAGTGTTCTGAATTCGGCGTGGGAATCACGCCTGCGATATCTCCTGCACGATTTGACAAAGGACTCGCATCTAGATCCCGAGGCGTTGTGGGAAGGGTACAGGAAAAACATGACCACAGACAATTACAAATGAGTCCATGGTCCTCTGTCTCCTCGACGAATGCCTCAGGGATCTAGCAAACCCACCGCATCATGAAGAAGAGCATCTCAATTCGAAGGAAGTCTATCCAGGCAATGCCTCTCGAGATCCTCGGGACGTATATTTTTATCCTTTTACCGTAAATATCTCGCAGACTACCAGCCGATGAGCTGTACTCTGCTGAGAGTAATGAGTGTTATCGACTAGGGTTCATCCCGAACCGGGCCCTTTGAAGAGGAGAAGAGAATCGATTCTCTCGGAATCTGAGGCCTCCGGGGAGAAGCGGGCATAGCGCTGCGGATGCAAAACCGAATAGTCAAGGAGTCACTCGATTTCTTGGGGGAGGTCGATCATTTTCGAAGGGAAGCCGGAGCACCCTGAATTAGAGCTCTCCCGACCGTATCTATCCCGGCGAATACTGTCTCTGAGCGTTGAAGTTGGAGCCGTGCTCGCCGTTCGTTACGCGCGGCGTCGCTTCTCTAACGCTCTCCGAGTCCAACATGAGTCATGGAATCCTCTCCTGGAATTAGAGGCATCTCCGAGCTTGGTTCGGAGGCATCATCCGGATCGCCACCCATGAACTTTATGTGCGCTCAGGATAAGACCGTGGGTCGGTGATCCTTCAACAATCGCGACATAGACTCCGCATCGAGTGCCAGATCCTGGTCAAACGCGCGCGTACGTGAGGATTCGCTCGATTCGACGTAGAGTGGAGCATTCTCCTCACCGTCGCATGGGATGGGACGGTAATTGGTAAGAGGAAGACCTATATAGGAAGAGAAATCGATGAAGTATCATCCAGAGCGATTAATATCGATTTCCTCCAATTTATCCATGACAACTGACAACCGAACATTTCAGACTTCGAAGATCACGTCTGTAGGCTCGACGTATATACATATGAAAAACGTCGACACTTGAGTCTCCCCGGAGCAGAGCGATATAGCGCGTTCTGGAACAGCGCTATCCCGATTCCGCTGAGCGGCGGAGCAGAGAAGATTTCGAACTTTGGCGCCAAAAGTTTCCGGAGGCGCATAAACACTAGTAGCGTGTTCCTGCTTCAGACAGAGGGGAAACACAAAAAAAGTAGTAATTCGCGGGTTCACGAACGAGACTCTCAGTCGAGTTCATCGTGGAGGATGGAGAAATGGGTGAGTTTTCGAGAAGGCCGGTGTAGGCGGCTGTCATCGCGGTATGGAGGAGCTATTCCTGAAGAAGCGAGGTTTCCGCTCGGCTCTTTCTGCTAGTCAAGCTCAGGGACTTGAAGTTCGATCGACTGGACAATTTCCCTGAGCCGATGGAATGTCAGAAGGTTCTGTCCGGGCATAGGGAGCTCGGCAGAGGGGAAAACCCCCGAGATGTTCGTGACGGGTATCGGAACAATGCCGAGACCTTGAAACAGAACTTGAGGAATCCGACAATGTTGGACGTTCGTACGGAACAGCTTGTCTTATATGGAGGGAAGTATCAGAGCCCCCCGCCCCGGGATCTCTCCTTTCAGATCAAGTCTCTCGCGGAAGTGTGCTGTAGCTTTCGAGTCATCCAGTGCGCATCTAGCGCTGAAAATTCAGAGAGGAGAGGGGCCGCCCCAGAAGATTCATTCTCCCAAAGATAATTAGCACAAGTGCCTCAACTTCTGGGTGTGCAGCGCTCTGCGATGGACACTGTGGCTGGCTCTAGGCTCATACTGTTGGACGGACACAACGGATATTTTCAGTGTGCCGTCCACTCCCCGTTGAAGAGTTCTGAACAGAGTTGAGCGGTGAACGACGTAGTTTTCCCGAGGTCGGCAAGTTTCGTGATGCGATAATCGTGATGTACTTCAACTCACTGCGGGAGCCTTTGGTGAGAGCACGGCGGGATGGACGGGATCGCGTATTATGTGATGTTCGAATCAATCCCATAGAAGGAAAATGTTGGATGATGTGCCTCCGGGTGCAGTGGGTGAGAATTCCGGAGTCGCTGTGTGGAGCTGCGTACCTGCGAGCTGCAGCGGAGCGCCTGGATAATCAAAGAAAATTCGCGCGTGGAGAGTTCCAAGGGAAAGACTCGCTCACGCTCTGTTTCGCGGACTTTTCGCGCGATCCCAAAGTGGGGGGAGGGGGAAATGTCTCAGTAGCCATCTTCTCGGAGTCAAAGCAGATTATATCTGCTTAAGTGGGCTTCATTGAGCGAGGCGTGAAACGGCGCTGGTGGTCCTGTCCAGCTCATTGCATTGAATTCCGGCAATGGCTATCTTTCGCGGAGATGTATAGGGCCTTGTTCCGTATCGTGTACCAGCGATAATGTAGCTGATTGAGCTATGAGCGGAGATCACGAGGCTCACGGCGAGACATCGAGCCTCGTATTTTGTGCTCATCGGCTTGGAAAATGTTCCTTCATTCCTGGGAATGAAGGAACCGTAGCTGTTCTCGTAGTGTTCGTCCCTTGGTTCACTTAGGAATTTCGGCATTTATCAGAAATCAACATGATGCGGGCCTTGAATGTTGGATGCAAGGACAGGAGTCCTTGAAGCGCTCGAGACCGACTCGCGGTTCAGGCGGGACATTCGTTTTTGTCCCCGATTCGATCGCCACCCGGCCTGCCTCACGAACGATGCCTTCTCGGGGTCTTCGATCATAGGATGAGTATTGGCAGTATTGACTTGGAAGCGAGGAATTCTCGGCGGTGAGCTGCCTGTGTATACCGACGGCAGCTTTCCATCAGCGCTTCCGAAACGGGTCGAGCAGGGAGAGGGCGCTGCGAAGTTACAAAGCCCTTTCGGATTGAGGCTTCACGCCTATGTCCAGTGTTTGCGAGGATACGTTGACGAATCTATCGAAGAGCGGGAAAACTCCGAGTCATTCGTCCGTTCTGCGTCTTCTGCACGATTGGTAGTCTGAAATGTTGACATAACGTTTCATCGTATGATGAGACAAAACTCGATGTGAATCATAATCTAGGATGAGCTTGCCCACCTCCACCAACATTTCACGTCTGGGGTCGGGTGGGATCCTGCGCATACAACGTCTTCAATTCCTGTGCATACCACGACTTCTTCACTCGCAGTAAACAAGGAAGCGCTCGAAGCTACATCTGAAGCTGGATCACTGGTGCGAAGGTGACTCTACGAGCGGGAATTGTTCGCAACCGATCCACTCTGAGGCTCGATTCTAATCCAAGGGTTGTTCTTGGCTTCGGCTCCGCTCAAGATTATGGCTTGGCACCCGGCTCTTCTGCGCCGACGTGAGCTCGCGGGTTAACTCTGCCGGAGTCTCTCTTGGATCTTTCCAGACTTTTCAGCTCTAGACCTGGACCTTCGACATGCTACTTTCCCGCAGCGGGAGTTATCGTGTACAGTGAAATCTAGTTCTGGCGGACCCGCGATGTACCAAATTGCGCCGCGACCTCAGGGCAGCGGCATTGTGCGAATGTCTGAATCGTTGATTTCCGCGATGGATGAAAGGGGCCTTTCGAATAGAGTCGGATACCGAACCAATCCAGTCTTCATTGAGCACGGTTGTGGGATCGCTTCGTTTAAAGGAATTCAGATACCTTCGGGCGATCCGCATATCATCCGACTTGTTGCGTTCTCGGAAGAACGATTCACCATTGAAGAACGAAAAATCTCCGACATTTGCTTGATTCTGGATTTGACAGAGCTCTGACTGACGCTGATGATGCTGATGATCGACTCTCACACAGCTACAGTTAGAGCATCCAGACTGATCCATCTTCTCCCTTCCCTGCTTTTTGAAAATGTGAGAATGAATGTACATCTGGGTCACGGATGCTCTCAAGAGAGGCCCATATGGTATGAATCGGTCGTATCATGGGCGGACCGTCCCACGGGGTGTCGTAAGCATATCAGGAGGAACGAGACACAGACTCAGTCTGTTTGGAGTTTAGCAGAGCGCTTTGCCCGATATTACGTCTTCGTCACACATCCTTGTCCTGAGAATACGGAATCGATTTTCGTGCCAAATACTCGGCTTGTTCGGTTTCGGTGATGTCTCGCGTTCTCCTTCCGCCACGGCTGTAAAGCACTCGAGAAGGATCGGGCGTGTTTTCGTCTCCGTGTGAAGAGCTGCGACTCTCCGACCGAGCAGTGAGCTCACTCGATTCTGTGCGCTTCCGCCGAGCGCATCAAGGTATCGACTGAGTGCGTCGAGAAATGCAGAGCGGGGGACCCGCTGAGACGTGAACGAGTAAGAACAAGAGATAGCATGGAAGGGAGAGAATGGCGGCGAAGCCTGAAGTATGCAGCAAGGGAGAAGGTACATGCATATATGGCCTTTATCGATGTGGCCACAATCTATATGAGGAGACGGCAGGGGCAGAGGGAAGCACCTTTTCGATGCCCACTGTACACTTAGTACCTACTCATTAAACCATCGAATAGAAAAAGTCAGAACACGTATGGTCGTCGGAGGGTGGCGGGAGACGAGTCGCGGGAGATCCGATCGTAGAACCTACTTCCGTCGATAAAGTTACTTTTTCGCAGTCTCACTCACAAACTATCACCACATCTAGTGGTCTCATTCGTCATGGCGAGGCCCGCCAGGCCAGCTAGTGAAGTATAAAACTCTGCGTATTCCCTCCAGTGCCAAGCAGAAAACGACGAAGACTCGAGCTCGTCGCTCGTCTACTCAGCACCAACGCTGGGAACGATCGCGATCATTTGAACTTAAGTCGTGTGTTCATGTTTCAGAAATCGCGGTTACAGAAAGGTGATGTGGTTCTAGAGGATCCGCGTTTCTCTCGGCGGCGGAACGAGCCCGGAGAAGCTCCTTGCAACAGGGTCGAGCCCGGGGAAGCTCCTTGCAACAGGGTCGAGCCTCTTCAAGCCCAGGTTCCGAGCGCTCCTTCAGGAAATCCTGTTACGCCGAAAAGCGCGAACAAGCGTTCCAATTCTCTGGACCACATCAGCAAGCGGATTAAATCGGAGCTCCTGGAGCAGCCTGAACCGGATAATCCGGCTCCGGAGCCTAGCGCCCCATCGATTCCGAACATCAAGCAAGAGCCTCCGAGTCAAGCTAGTACGTCTACGCAAGCCAGGAAGTGGATCCTTCAAAAGTTTATCGATGGCGTCATATCCGGTGACCCGATCAATATATCCGATCTTGGATTCCCTGTACCTATCGGGCGGAATGCCATGAAAGTGAAGATATTCCTTGATGGTCCCAAACAAAAGGTAAGTCGCTCAAGCGCGCGACATACGGACATGAAAGAACATTCTGATCAATCGATTTTGAACCTGTCGCAGTAAGTGATCCGGGTTTCGTTTCTAGCATGTGAGTAGATATCATGCGGAGCTGCACGAGGACGGTGACGGACTTCTGATCCGATGTTTTTCAAGCAATGGAATCCTCATCAATCAGTCCGAATTCCTCGCTAAGGATGAAGCGAAGCCCCTCAAGGCCTCGGATCTGTTCTCCATCGGCGATAACGCAGAGAGCCAGGGAATGCAGGTCATAATGTTCGCTGTCCGCTGTGAGGTGGCGGCACCGGAAATCCCCGAAACCAAACCGATACTACCGCTCCGGATACCCGAAGTTGCGACAGACAGCGACGGAATCGACCAGAAAACCCCGCTGGGGAGCTCTAATGCCTGTCCGATTCTCATCATTGATGACGACGACGATGTCACTCATGATTACGAAGGATCGGCCTCGGTCAGAGAAGAAAACAACGAAGGCCTGTCCGCGATGCTCATGAAGTTCAAGGATGAACCTCTAGAGGAGGTTGACCAAGGGGTCGCTGAATCGGCGACCACGCCTCCAAGCTCGGACTCTCCCGTGGCTCCGACGGTCGGCGAAGCCGTGACTCCTGCCCGTGCGCCGACCGCTGAGCGGAGTCCTCGGACAGAAACCGCGTCTGCTGACCAGACCTTGGCCCTGGTTCCGACAGCTGCGTGTCGGAACCCCTCAGAGACCAGTACCGAGTTTCGATCGCCTCTATTCAATTCGCCTCCGCCGCCAAGATTGAGGGAATGTCCGAATTTCGCGCCGACCTTCAACGCGTATAGAAGCTGTATGTTGAAGCTCGACTTCAATAGACCCGATGGTGATCCGAAACAAAAAAGCGAGAAGATATTCATCGACTTCGTGCGCGACTATGCCTCGTCCCGAGCTCTTCGAGATGTCACTCGCGTCTTGTTCAGTTTCTTCTGCTTGGAAGCGGCCAGTCGCATCAAATCGTTCTGGCGAAAAACTTCGCAGAGCCATCCGAGGAAGGCAGCGATCATAGCTCAGGCTAGTATGTCCGCAGACGTACTACGTGTCACAGTCGTGTTGGCCAGCGAAGGCCGAGGAGTATTCTCGGACTGTACGGCACTGAGACTCTCTGCGAACCTCATACGCCTCGGAGGTCAAGGGCATAAGAAACGAGTGTTTCTGGGGATGGTTCACAAACAGGAAACCGTTGATCGCCGCCGCCGGAGCGGAGGAATCCAGCTTCCGGCGATTCTCTCGGGAGACGATCGCTCGATTGACGTCGTTGATATTCTCGAGATCGACGTTGATAAATCGGCCTTCAATGGGTGAGTAACTAGACTTCGGAGTCCGCGCTACTACTGCAACTCCGGTGAGCTCTGCGGATATTTTCGTGGAATTCTCTCCTTATCCTCTGGGCTCTGCCAGTCGGGGGTCCGATTCTCGGGATACGGATACTAACGATCGTATAACCTTGAATTTCAGCTTGAAGCTAGACACCGACGCCTTGATCGAGCTAACGAGGGTATGCGAAGTCCGCGAGCTCAAAAAAATTCTGTGTCTACGGCAAATTCCCGACTCTTTCTGCCATTTTCTGCGAGGTCCGAAAGCTTTCAACATCTGGAGCCCGACCGATGTCACAACTTCGCCGAAATCCACCGAGCAAGTTTTACGAGTTACCTGTTGCTCGATGCTCACATCGGAGCAGACCTCGGTGGTGTGCGCGGCGTTATCTCTTCTAACAGCTCCTGTTACCTCGGTTTCGATGATGTTAGTAGACGGGGCGGCCGGGACCGGGAAAAGTGCGGTGCTCATGGAAACAGCCTTCGAATGTGTTATCGCGAAGCCGACACAGACTGTCCTGATTTTCTGTAAATGGGCCTCTGCGGCAGACTCGATGACGTACCAGATGATGGGTGAGCCTGAATTTCTGGATTCGCTCGTCTAAACTTTGAATTGCATCCTGGGTCAAGCGATCATGGGCTGGCTATACAGAGCTTCCTCCGCCGGATACGCTCATAGCCCACAGTCAACGAGGAGGGACGAAAGTCTAACTCTCACTTTTCGCACCCCTAGGTTTCACCGGACATAAAACTCTGAGGCTCGACAATGGCGAATCGGTCAGCATTTGCCGAGTGGCCGGTTCTCATAATCAGGTGGATCGTATCCAGCGCGTCTGTCTTCCCTCACTCCTCGAAGAAAAACGGACGTCTACTCTCACGCAGGAAATCGAGAGGAAGAATAAAGCTATTCAGGAGCAGAAGAAACGAATCGCTGATCTGCAGATGAGTTTAGAAGATCAGCTGGACAAATTACCGAATTTTGTGAAGACACGGTATGAATCAGCGTCGTTGAGTGAAGCACGCAGCTATCCGACAAGAAAGACCCCCTCAAAGAATCAGCACGATAGATATTCCACAATGATTCTGGTACGCAGGAAACTCAACGAGATCGCACAGCAGAAACTCGCCTTAGAGAATGACGAGAAAGAGCGCGCGATTCTCCTGGAACGATTGAAGCAGCCTGCCGTCCGCCACCAGAGCTCCCCGGGAGCGACGGCAGTACTGGAGAGCGCGAACATTCTGATCTGTTCGTCAGCGGATATTGAAACGATGATCATCGGTCAGGCATTCAGTGAGTATCGCATAGCTGAACATAAGTTCGAAAGGAGTGAAACAGCTCGCCCGCTCCCATGAGAGCTGGCTGAGTCCTCGGAATGTCAGCACTAAGTATCTCCTTTCTAGAATCGACCGGATTGGCGAAGATTTCCATGGTTTTGATCGACCAAGCCCAGCAGCTTTTACTGACTGATCTCCTTCCAATCATGCAACTAAACTGTCAACGGCTGGTCATGTTCGGCGACTGCAATCAGAGCACCTACCTCAAACACGTTATTCGCCATCGGGTTCTCAAGGAGAACAACCCCTACATTCCGACGGAATTCGTTAAGTGCTGCGCAAAGTTCTCGAATAAACGCTTCCGTTTAACGAAGAACTTCCGCTTGCGTCCCCCGCTCAGCGACATAGTCGACAAAATGTTCATCAAAAACTCACAATGTAGGTTGCCGCAACTTATTGAATTGCCGAAACTCAGCTTATCTGTCCTCCCGAAGGAAGGCTCCACCTGATATACGCTCGCTAGGCCAAAATATCAATTTTTCCAATCCGCCTCCCGTCGGTCCGTCTCGACTGTTCTCGCGAGTCTCTCTTGCGAGTTCGGCACTCAATGACCGTTTTTCTTCCCCAGCCCCATCGGTGCAGAACTTCAGCGGCATTTTTTCGTCGGATCCCGAGCTGTCCTCGATCACGGTTTTCGACATCGATGACGAAACCAAAGAAGAACATATTGTGTTGCGTATCTTCCAGGCTTGCGCGATGTTGCTCAAGAGGGTACATATCATCCAGCTTGGTCCCGCGTCGAGGTATCACGCAGTCTCGAAAAAATGTCAAAAGGAAAGTGGAATCTCGATCAAAGCCTGCATACCAGAAAACCTCGACGCTGAGGAAGTCGCTCTACTCGTCCTGCCGGTCTTCGACCCCAACTTACTCAAGGATATCAACCTCGATCCGGCGAGATTGAATTCAATTATCACTCGAGCGAAGAGGTCGACGATCGTCGTCGGGAATTTCAATAATATGAAAGAACGATGCGCTATTCTGGATGAGCTGGCTGAGCAGTCGAAACTCGTGGGTAGATTCTTCCACCACAGCGCTCGCTCGTTCATGCAAATCAATGTAGCCGAGATTCTGATGCATCTCCGACCGTGAACACTGCCCCATCACATAAAACTTGCTGTAGAATCGTGAATATATATTTTGTTATAAGTTAAAGAACTGACTACCACGTCCCCAACGCACTTGAAAGTTGTACATATACGGTACGCTTCATACTGAAGCGTCGAGGAGTCCACATCGTTTTCCCTGTAAAGTTAGATCGCCGACGAATCGACCGCGCTCGAGCGGATTATTGAATCTCGGCTATTGTCTTGGATCCTGGACGAAAACGAAGGACTCGATGCTGCTCACTAAGGTCTCTCGATTCGTTGGAAAGATTTAATCTCTGGTCGAGGGCTCGGCTCGATCGTTACGGAGCTCAGCCTGTGATGCGAGGCTAAGAACTGAAGAGAAAGCACAAGACGAGTTTGCCCCAATAAACACTGTCCCAGAAAGCTTCGCTATCGTATTTCTTCCCGAAGAGAAGTTCCCGCTTGCCGGACCACGATCCACGACTCCCTGGACCGTCGAGCCTTGTTTCTTCCTCATTCCTCCCCGGGAGTTCGTTTTCTTCAGCATCTCAAGGGAACGACACCCGTGCGGACCTGTATAGCTATCTCTCCAAAGGTTGAACTCCAGGGAAATACGGACGAATACGTCCGTGAGAATAATATGGAAGACATCCAGAGATCCGGGATGATTCTGGAGACAGGTTCTCGGAAGTCGATGATTACCACGAGCAGACCTCCGGCTTGATGCTGCCCATTCCCGAGCTTTGCCACCGACAGCGGATTCCGATCTCCGGGAGAGAGCTCATATTCCAACAACGCGAATATCCCAAGCAAAATTCACCCTCCAAGTCGCCCTGTTGTCAGTTTGAACGCTGATTTGCGCGCGGAGGCCGGTTAAGGATCCGAGGGGTCGCGAATAGTGAACCCCGAGGGGAGGAAGGGGCTGCAGAAACGGATTGAAGATGCGTTCGGTCGCCATGATATATCAATCCGTAACTCGCTCCGGCCGGGCTTGACTTTGGATCGGGAGCTTACGAGACTGACGGTGATCCGGCCGACCTCGGAGAGAACATCGAATATTATATAAGGAGCGGAACGAATTTCGCTTCATCCTCCGAATCGACCTTGGCTCGTTCCCTGGTGAGGATGATTCCGAGAGGATGCGATATGTCATTGTGTTCATTTATTCCATTTGAATCGCTGATATGATCGAAATTCACTAAAGAGCCGCTCATAGATAGTCATCATGCGCTTCGTCGGAACCCAGAATCCAGCGCGCTATCATCGGCTATTACCTCCTAAAGAATGATCTACGAAGCTTCCTAATGTTGAGCTCCTCAAGTGTCGAGGTTGAGTACCTAGTCGTTCGCTCAGCTCATCCGAGTCGTTTCCAGTGCCTAACCCGGATGACTGCCCGAATCTTTCCTTTTAGCGTAGAACTACGCTTTAGACACCGGTAGGTCGACAAGATGGGGTGCGAATCGTGGAAAATGGTCACAAACTTGGTCGTAGAAATCCTCTAGAATCTAGAACAAAGCATCTCTAGAGGAAAATTGTCATGGTCATATATGAAGGGCTGCTCATGAGGCATCGTCAGAAGGTCATACCGAACTTGAAAATCCTTTCTTCAGGTTGATATAGGCCATATTATAGGCTCGGGTCCCAAATACTCGAGAACCACGCATGCTAGCACAAATATCATGATGGCAAGAAATGTTCAGCTTCAGCAGTTACGACTTACGACTGGCTAGACGATAGCGGCTCGATTCCGTCAATTACTTACGAAAAAGGAGGCATTATCCCTCTTCGAAATCCAATCGTGCCTTCATAGTAGAGCCCAGTTACCGTGTCACGGTATCACGGAAAATAATTTCCGTGACCGTGTCCCGGTAATTCACGGAAAATAAAAATTGCAAGGTGTAATTCATGTGAAAGTTCAGCGCTCGGTATGGAAGTAAATAGTGCAGCTGAGATGTAAAACGATGATACTCGTCCAAGCACCTGCATGGATGATAAGTGAACAAAGTGAAAACCGCACCACAATTTCAGAAGACGGATAATTTCATTCAATCACAGTCGTAGTTTGCGACTGCCACATGGAATATACATGGAATCAATTATGAGGAAATCAGAACGGACATATTGCACTGACATCGTAACATGATATCACAAAGCTATGGTGACAATAACCAGTCGATGTCACAAAGCACATCATGCCCAACATGGATGGCACATGATACATGATGCTTATTATGAGCGAGTGCTTGCCTGATCTCCTCTCGGGAGCCAGGACTTACTCTTCGTGATATAACCTTTCAGGAATATATAATTACCGAATCGCTCATCATTTTGAGATTCTTGATTATAACGCCTAGCAGAGCGTGCCTTGCTGAAGATGAGCTCTGCCGGCACACTCGTCGGCTGCAGGGTGTCGAGAGTAGCTACCAGAAGTTCTGGTAGGCTCTTGACACCCTGTCTTTGGATCGTTTCCTGAGAGGGCGGCGTGCAGTCCATCTCGTCTTCATCCCTGTTTAGATAGACTTCGTAGAAGTCTTTGGGACCTTCACTTCGCGCGTCATGCTCAGCATCCTCTTCTACTGCCGACTCCGACTGGAACATCACAACACGTGGATATCACTCGTGTTGGTAAACAAGATGATGTAAACAAGCAGGCGAGCAGCGGGAAAATTTGATTTTTCATGCAACTTCACGGGTTGCAATGTATCTATCATCGCTTTTAACATTTCAATCACACATCAGTGGGATTAGCTAGGCACTGCAGGGGTCTCTGCGATTTACCGAGACCTTAATAGAAGAATAGAATAGAATTGATAGATGAATGCCCGATGTAAACAATGAAGCAATGAAGAATAGAATTGATAGATGAATGCCGGCATGTAAACAATCGAGCGAATGGCGCGATATATGAAATATTTCGGACCTATTTGCGCTTTATTTTGTCGACTATTAGAGTATATAGGGCTGACAAGGGTATCTCGATTTTCCGTGATACCGTGACACGGGAACTGTGATCTGTGATCTACTTCATAGACACAATTGGCTCCCTTAGGAACGTTTGAGCGATGTATCTCCATCCTCTGATGGGGAGAACCATGATTGCACGCATGGAAGCATGATTTTCATTGTGGTCAAGCGTGAAAGGATATCCGCGATGGCTCGTAATGGCGTCCCTTATTCATCCGAAGTTATCTCATCATTTTATGGTAAAAAACGATGTTTACTGTGAGCAGATCCAGCAGTCAACGAGCGTCTTAGTATGATAATTTTTTCGCTCGAAGATGTCACTACCTTAAGCGTACCAATTGCCTTGAACGAAGTATCCTAATTATAAAATCGGAGTGAGGAACCAGTGCAGTAGAGCTGATGTCGATGATTTGGAAACCCTACTCCATCTATGAGAGATGAGAGAGCAGAGCAGTCAGAGAAAGTCTCCTAATCTTATCCCGGGATTACGTCCCGTCGACTGGAGTTATGATGGCAGTGGTGAACCCTACCCTACAATACATTCCATATGTAATTCAGTCTACGTACTCCAGTTCCGCCAACCTTCTGGTTGCTACGTTTTGTGGAACAAATGTTCGGACCCGTGAGGCATTTGGAGGAAGCCGATTGAGAAAGAGCGTAGTTCTACGCCCATTACCCGACTGAGTTAGAGACTCAGTCAGTAGCCTGCGCTTTTTTCTTGAGAGCCCAGAGCTGCTCCAGCTTTGTCTCCTGAGACGCCTATGAGACTCTATGATTTGGTCCTCATTGTCATCATATTCGAGTTTGATTGAATCGTCCGAGGCTTCGTCGTCGTGATGACCAATATCGGCTCTGTTGGGCTGGAGAAAATTAGGATTGGAGAGGAGAAGATGAATCAGATAAATGAGAAATCTTGTCTTTGGAACATTTTTCTTCGCCTTGGAAGAGCTGGGAGCTCCTCCTTTGCGCTTTCATTGGGCAACAAGTGGACAGTGTTCAGAGATTTTCATCTTCGGGACCACACAAGAGACTGGGTCCCGGCTCCGTTGGTCCGTCTAGATCGAGAGGATAGGCAACTTTTAGGTGAACTCTCCCCACAGAATCGCGCGACATTCCAATCATACCATGAATGAGGAGTCCATCACCGTGGAAATACTCGAGCTGTTTGTTCACTGCGAAGTTCCGGCTCAAGGGAATCTCCAACGAGGGCAGATGATCGAAGACGGAGCGTCGGAGAAGCGTAGGTACATCGTTTAATCGTCTCATCCAGCAAGTCAGCGAGGTCCGCCGCATGATAAGTCCATGAAATCCGAGCAGGCGGGCCGGGAGGCACTAACCCCCGGGTCGCCGAAGCACTCCGAGAAGTATCGATCGGTAAGGCAGTCGCACATGATGAGCTAAGCTTACCTTCCCGCAGATATCTCACATTCTGATGCTCCAACCGATGGGAGACAAGACTCTTGAGCAGATTACAGCCAATCCTCAGTGGGCAGACGCGCCCCGTCTCACGAACGATTCAATCACACATCAACATAATTGGACTCACGAGCCTGGCAATTCACTGATACGCATGATGCGGCTCCCGAACGGTTTCTAGGTGCATTGGATATGACTGTTTTCGAGAGAAGTCGATGGTCACCGGATGCGTTGTGCGATAGTACGCGATTCGTGCATACAAGACTGCATCGCTAAAAAGCAGTGCTTCCATCAGTATGGGTTCATAAGAGGAACTCTGTTACGACGCACGAAGTGTTCTACAGTTTTATCAATGATCATAGGCTATCTCCTCTGAATCCTGAGAAATCCTCCCGGACATCTACATATTATAGCTGCCTTCTGTCAAGCTGACAGGGATTCATAGTGAAGAGACTCTGAGTGAAGATTGGAGCAATTTCTATTCAATGACGGTTCTGCATCGAAAAATTGGTCGTTTCCTGCGCGGAACAGTGCGCATTGCGTTTCTCGGTTTCCGGACAAAACCACCGCCGAGTGGTCTCAATGAGTCGCCGACAGGACCTGATTCTATTTCGTATTGTCGTTCATGGTGTTCCCAATTGGGATGACTCGAATACAAGACTACAGCCACCGATTAGGAGGAATGCGCTCTTCCTCACATCACTCGAAACCTCAGGGAGGTGTTATGCAGGTCTGAGAGTGAACTTGCTCTCAAATTAAATTATGCCCCAGGCGCTGCGGATTATCGCTTGCTAAGATAACGACGAAAAAATCATGCCTCCGGACCTTTCCAACGATGGTCGACTTCGACGGGCTTTCGCGCGACGGAGCACGCGAATGTATGGTTTCTCTCCACTATGAACAGTATGAGGTTTAAAATCGAGAAGCACGCGGCCACGAACTTCTTCGGGCACAGCTGACAAGTATCAGAGATCGCTGTCTCAAGACGCATGTTGTTTTCCATGAATTATTTCCCCACCACAATGCCCTGGAAATGAGCTTTCGCGCCGGATTCCCTCAAGGAATCGAGACCTATATGCAAGAAGTTGCTTCTGACGTCGAATCTCGTCACTCAACCACAGGTTTTCCATCGGGAGTCTCAATTCCTTTTCCCCCTTCCATACATCTTCGGAGAGACCAAGCTTCCGTTCGTTGGTACGCCACTGAGCAGGAAGAATTCCAAACATCGGAGATCACCAGCGGCGCGGGGCAGAAGAAGAGATCTTCCAGGGCGGACTAATACTTCAATTCGAGGACATCGTCACCTCCATGAACAAAATAAATACGCGATCCTCCTGCCATAATTTTATCCTTGAACTCTTTAAGGAGGGCCGGTGGGAAACCGCCGCCGATCAAGACTGTCTGCTGCCTCTTCTCAAACTGCTCATTGACGAATTTCCTTATGCTCTTCCTCAGAGCCTTCTTATTCTCGTCGATTTTCTTGAGGCAGTGGGCCGCATATTCTTCGAACTCTTCTCTGTCGGAGTCGTAGTCTACGTCTTTGTTGAGCAGCGCCTGATGTCTCTCGATCTCCCGCATTTTTCTCTCGTACGTTCCGTTCTGCAAGTCGCTATGATGGGCCGCGCGGATGTAGCGAGTCGCTGAGCTCACGTAGCCCAGCGAGAAATAAGCACAACCGCAGATGTAATTAACGTATGCGTCGAATCTATCAACTTCGAGCGCCTCTTTTGACAGAGAAACAGCCAGCGGGTAGTGCCCCAGTTCGTAGGCGCATTCTGCTGTCTTCACCGTAATGGCGTGAACGAAGCTCTGACGAGCTCTCTCTTCAGCTGGTGATTTCTCTGCGTCGATCTGCACCTTACGGGCAGACCACAGACTTCTTTTCAAAATCCGAAGAGCCTGTAGCTTCTTGCCATTCTCTATGAGAGCTTCCGCAGCGTTGAGATCCTCTCGGATCAGAGCCATGCTATCAAAAGGAGTTCTGTCTTTGAACCGCAGTTTCGTCGACTCGGGCTTATCGTTCCAGGACCGCAGGAAAACTTCGAAAACAAGATTGGAGTCCTTGGCTATTTTCACGCCAGGCTCCAAGGACAATGCACTCGATCCGAAGGCCAGAGCCGAGTCCATCCAGATCAGAGCCCTCTCACCTTTCCGCATCGATGAGAGAGCGATTTTCAATCCCGTCGGCAGAACTTGCTCCAGTTGTTTCACGAAGGGTTCCTGCGAGTATTCGATAATGCTCTGACCCCTCACGATCAGGCGGAGTTCGACTTGCACTTCACTATTCTCAGGCACGTCCTCGCCAGCTCCCGGAGCGAGTTGCAGTTTGTAGAGAAGTTTTGGGAGTAAGGCTTCACCCTTTCCCTTAAGTGTCTCGATGCTTATCTGGAAAGCGAATCACGTCGAATGAAAATGTTACGAGCGCACCATATCCCGGGTCTCAATTATCCATGCCCGGACGATTCCGCACGGGAGTCTCGGTATACCACGGACAGACGTATCCGATAGGCGCCCGGCGAAGGAAATCATTGAACTGAGGAAGGGCTTGTCAAAGCAGTAGAGACGCACTTTGTCCAACTTAGCCATTGCTGTCAACGTTAACACGCGCTTCGTCAAACTCCCTCGATCAGACGACTGACGAGTATCTTCGAAAGCTGGCTTTCCTCGCTGGCATCCGGATGTCACGTCCTGAGAGCAATGGAGCGGCGGGAAACCAGCCTTCAGGAACTGTTTCAGCTGCTGATAGCTAGCGGCTTATGCATTTTTCACGGTAACGGCAGTGGAACTTCATACTTTGTCGAATGTGCACATCCGCTAAAGACTGCCACAAGAAGGTGAACATCACTTGAAATCGCGCGTCTTCTCCAAAAGGACGGTGAATTTGGATGAACTGTAGATAAAATTTATTTCTTTGTCGGCGGAGATCCGCAATACGACGACCGAAGCGACCGAGCTCGCGCTGTGTCTGCTGATTCTGCGAATCCCGACATTCTTTCGCGGGAACCAATTTTCAATGGCAAAAAATGGCGCCGAAAACATCGCGCGCTGTCGGAACATTCGAGAAGCTGCTTCCGACTCTTCCGACCGCCCTGCTGCCGACGACGTGCGGCCGATGTCAGATGTAAACGAAACTCCTCGAAACTCTATCCGATCTTCCGCGGAAGCTCGGAACGAACCCTCGAGATCTTGGGCGGCGGGAAACAGCACAACGAACGGAGCGCTGGACTTATTTCTTATTCCTACTCTGTCAAAACGAATGGACTCGAATCTCATTTATCTAGACCTGAATCTGACGAGGGCCATATCGAGAGGAATCAATCGACCTCAATCTTGATTCCCAACTTGATCGGTCTGAGCTCGTTCACCCTGTGGCGGCTACGCGACGAAAGCCACGGGGCTCATGGGCTCCGAGCTCACGACAAGGAGCGGAAACCCCGTTTTTCTTCCAGCGTGGTTCCCTATCTCCTCCACCATTGCCTCGACGCTTCCGAGAGGTGCTAGCTTCTTTACTTCTACGAGCCCTCAGAGAACCATCATGTTGTATCTATTCGCTATTGCAAGGCGACGCGGCGTGTCAACTTATGATGCGCGTTCGTCGCGAGCGCAGTGCATCCGGTGCGATTTTAATTCACTCCTCCCAGGCGGACAACGTCGGATACCTGCCTATGTAGACGGGAAGAGCTGGAGGGGCATCCGAAGTACCCCATGAAGCCTCTAACTCAAGGCATCCCATATTACGGAGCGAGCCGTTACAGCTAACCTCATGGATGTCGACGACCCCTGTAAAGACCCACGAGAAGCCCCTCCGAATCCGGGGCGGAGACTTCATCGTCCCTGGAGAACGGGGGTAAGGGCCGATGAGCACCAGAACTGTTTGAAAGGACGGCCCTCAGGCCCTGGTTTTCGAAGCCAGGCTCCGGAATTGTGTCGTCCGTGTCGAGGAAAAGAAACAGGTTCTCAGCGAAAAGTCCAGTTTTTATCTACATTCTACATATTTTTATAAGCATCCTGAAATGCGACGTTCCCGAAATCTCACACGGCTGTCCGGTGGGAGCGATGTTCTGAAACATTATTCAAAGTATTGCGCCTTGGTCTCGATCCTGAACTGAAGCGCCGTAACCTCTCGGCTTCCGAGTCCTCGACGTCCCTGCCCAAGAATCATCGGCGGCGTAGCAAGGTGAACTCCATGAGGAAAATCTCCCCGAGGAGGCTTCAACTCCGAATCGCCCCAGATATTTTCCGGCGGGGTTACAGACCACCGTCATAGGTTGAGGTCAGCCATCGCGAAACATGGAGGGAGTCGGGGGTGTTGAGTGCGAAGTCGTCTGGAGTCAAGGTGCAAAAAAAAATAAGCATATGAGTACTCGTTTCATAAAATATATCCTATCGGCTCTTTGTTGATCCAGAAGATTCGTCCATGCTCAATGACCCAACGGGAATCGCAGAATCCGGCACCGGGCAGCTAAAGTCCTAGTCCTGATCCCAGTCTCACGCATGCCGGGACTTTCGCATAAAATCATCGAATCTCCTCCATGTCTTTAAAAAAGCACATGTCCGCTCGTTCAGGAGTTGGATTTCCGAGGGACTGTTCGCAAGTTGTCCACCATATCCCGAGTCGCTGAACACAATAAATGTGTCCTCTCTGATTCTCGATTCTTCGAAGAATTCTCTGAGCTCCCCTTATTCCTCAAACACAAATCACTCACGAAGAAATAACGAGAGAATGTGCGTCAATCTCGAAGACTTCACGATTCTGCCTCCGATGACGTGACGATCAATGAGAGCGCCCGCGGAAGCAAGGCCCAAACGGCTGGTACCACGATGAAAGGAACGAGTACTTTCAATTAACTTTCTCCGCTTCTTTCCTTCCTCCAAGCTGTCTCTCTCGAGGGAATCCTGAGAAGCTCCGCAATCAATGGCACTGTTAAAAAAAGATGGATTTCTTGCGCCGTATCAACGGCTTAGTTTCAAGACGTCATCTTTCGTATTTATGACACGGATTCCAGGGTTGCGTCCAGGCTTCATGGAGTTCTCCTGGATTTTGTCCGCTATTCCTCGAAGGAGACTCGGTCGGAACCCACCCCCTACGAGAACAATTCTCTCTGTCTCGAATTGTTCGTTGACGAAAATCTTGATATCCCTCCTCAATTTCTTCTCATTGAGAGTGAGTTTCTGTAGCAGCACGGCAGCGTATTCCTCCGTTTCTTCCTTGTCGGAATCGAAGTCGATATCTTTTTCCAGCAGAGCCTGATGTTTCTCGATCTCCCGCAATTTCTTCTCATACACCGGGTTCTCCAGATCGTTGTGATGGGCCGCACGCATGTAGCGTATAGCGGCAGCTAAGAGTCCAAGGGAGAAACACGCACACCCGCAGATGTAATTCACATAGGAGTCGAATCGGTCCATCTCGAGGGCTTCTTTCGAAAGGCTAACTGCCTGAGGATATTTTCCCAGCTCGTAGGCACATCCCGCCGATTTCACAGTCAGGTAGTGAACCAGATTCTCCCGAGCGTCGTTCTCCTCCCGCGCTTTCTCACAGTCGATCTTCAGTCTTCGAGCCGAGTGCAAGCAGCTCTTCAATAATCCATAAGCCTGATTTTTCCTGCCGTTTTCCATGAGAGTTTCAGCCTTCAGAAGCTCAGCTTGAATCAGCGAGAAGCTTTCGGACGTTGCTCTGTTCTTGAATCGCAGCTTGCTCGGCGCAGGCTTATCATTCCACGACTTGAGCTGTACTTCGAAAACGAGGTTCGAATCCTTAGGTATCTTCACTCCAGGTCCCAATAAAACCGGGTTCGGGCCGAAGGCTAGAGAAGAGTCCATCCAGATAAGGGATCTTTCGCCTTGGCACATGGTAGATAGAGCAATACTCAACCCGGTGGGCAGGATCTGGTCCAGGTGTTTGACGAAGGGTTTATCAGAGTACTCCAAGACAGTCTGACCCTTCAGGATCAATCGTAACTCCACCTCGACCTCGCTATTCCCTTGGACGGTATCACCTGCTCCAGCTGCGATGGTGAGTTTGTACAGGAGATCGGGGAGCAAGGGCTCCCCACTCGATTTTAGCTCATCCACGCTTATCTGTAAATATGTAGGGTGGTCTATAAGAGGATAATTGGGAAATGGATGCGGAGAGGAGTCTTAACCAACGCTAGCTGCGTCGATCCAGCGCTCAAGGATCCCTGAGCTGCAGCTCCGTAAAGGCGACGTTCAACAATGCTTCACTGTCATCAGCATTTCATACCACCCTATGACCCATGGTGAATTTCCGACTTCGTAGCAATGTCAAGCTTCTACCAGCTGATGGTGACTCACCTTGTCCATGCTTTTTTTGAGATCGGAACCGAAAGCCAGAGTATTGTTCAACACGGAGTGTTCTCTCTCCTGTTGCTCCCTTCGGTGTCATTCGACGGACCGATCTTCGCTCGTCAGAGCCGTGAGAGAGTCTGCACGAGTACGAACACCGATAAGCTCGCCGAGCTCAGCTCCTATTACGTGGCGAGTCCGGGATTATCGACGGAGTTAGCGCACAGCCACCACCGCACCAGTCTTCGACCTGCCTGTTGTACCCGTCGTTCGGAAAAAAAGTCGCCCTAAAGACCGCCTCGTGAGCATCCGTTTATGTCGTGAGGGATGAGAGGGAAACGTGGGAAGTTCGTCACCGAGGCATCGAAAACAGCCATTCGCCCATGTACGAGATGCGTATGCGTATACTGAAGTAGGTCCAATGATTTCTGTCGAATCGGAGCCGGCGCGGAAGCGGAATCTTCTTGCTCTCTCGGCTATTTCGAAAGCGGCGCCAGAAAGACCAGCAGAGCAGCGGAGGGCTCTTCATGGGGCTTAGCGAGCGGCCGCTCCGCTCTGATCGGAGACCTGATAATTATATTTAGGAGGAGATGACAATGGATCCGTAGATTCGACGTCTTTAATCGATGGCCTGATGCGAACGCGATTCGCCGAGCTCCCGAAATGCCGATCACGATCAGCTCGAACTCCCAGGTGTAATCAGTTCGATTCCCCTCATCGCCACCTCTCTCAGCATTCGAGAAACTTCCTGGAGGAGCACGATAGGGTCTTCGATTTAAGGACCGAATCCTCGGAGCTCTAATGACGCCTTGATGTTTCCATCATCACTCGTTCATTGCGTCAGAGGCAAGCGGCAGACTTGAGGCTGGATACTGGTTGACCTATTGGAGGACACTCTTTATGGATCTCTATCCAAGAACCCATTTTCATTCCATGACGAATTTCACCATGTCATGGTTCTCCAAGAGAAACTCTCCTCAAGATATAGCTCTAGAATATGCATCTCTTCTCCGAGCCCATGGAAGTCGGGAATGATGCTAGGGCTGGTCTCTCGTCGCGGCCGGCAACGAAAGCCTGGATTTTCCGCAGCACAACCCCGTAGGGAGTCATTGGGAGCTGGAAAATGCCTTGAATTCCGGGCTGAAATACCGCGGCGAAAGTCCAGCCCTAAATGAGGACGGATGAGTCCGCAGTACCGGTTCGGACTAGTGTCTTCGTGGCCGACGAGGCTGGAGCTCGTCCCTCTTTGAGGCAGGTACGAAAGGAAATCGAGTTCTGATAAAATTATCCCCATGTCGAGCGAAGATCTCGGAGTCAGCGTATCGAAAAGTCAGCGCGGTTGAGATAGAGAGTTCATTTTATTGGTTAAGATAAAATTCCATGTTGTCGCTATTGATGTTGCTTTTCAACACGATAATCGCTTATTATCTGGTGTTCTGAACTGTAACGACTGATGTTCCTGTCTCTGACTTCGCCGCGTATTCGATTTCATCAAATCCAGCGACTCGCCGAATCAGTAATGAAATGAACATCTCAGAGCATACTCGGGCAGTCTCTGTTCCTCTTTGAGAAGTTTTGCGCATCATCTATTTTGTGGTACTCACTACCTCTGCTCGAAGTTCTCCATTTTGCAGTGTTCCGTGTATTTCTCTCCCCATTCATTCAAAGATTCAGTACGTTTTGTAATTGACCATATGCCGACTAGAGATCACGTGGTTCTTGCGCACTGCTGAGTGGCTTGTGGAATGTCCGCTCATGATCGAGACGTGGTTGAGACACATAAGTTCTCCATTTAAGCAGCTGAGTCGGTTTCGGGTCTGAATCGCTTGTTTCTTTCTCGCTTGTTGGTTGTTTGGTTTGGTAAGTCTGTTTCAAAGAGTTCTCTTGCTACCCAGAGACAAGGTGCCGAGCCACCTAGAGGTTCAATAGGCTAGCTACGCTTGGTCAGGGACACATCGTTGGCGAACTCAAACTACAATATGAGTCAACGATACAAACAATATTAATATTCTCAATTATATCTCATCTGTCTATCTAAAACACAATTCGAAACATAGAGGATCCTTTCGGGAAGAATAAGAGAATTGGAAAGTAGTGGTATCAGCATTGGTAATATCGGTGGTTCAATGAGAGTTGTATGTAGTGAGGTGGCCACAATGAATAGGGTGGAGGAAGAGAGGCAGGAACGGCAGAAAAAGACGAGGTTAATGAAGCGGAGGAGGAAAGGGTATAGTAGGACGAACACGTGGAATTATGGTCAGGGTCAAAATCCATTAGGAGAAAAATATCTGACGAGCTCAAAGATCTCGGGACCTGCTAAGATAACACTGGCAACGCACAATGATAAAGTTTCAATGGATGCGAACATGATTAGGTCCTCGGGCCTACCCGGTCGGTCAATGAGTCACTCAGTAACAGAGCTTGATGCGAGGCTTCGACGTTCTCGAAATATTTACTTACAAGAGGAGCGAATGTCATGATAATCGGTTCGAACGAATAGGTATTTGCATTTCATATAATCGCTCAAGTTGCTTGGACGATTGCCAGCTCGGGGCTACTGCCCCCTCAGGTGAGTAGGTATTAGACTGATAAAGATTAGGTTGAAGAAGGTGGAACTTCTAGTGCTTATAGGAGTTGAATAGAATTGAGTCGCAAAGGATTGCTTGGGAAGAAAAGCATAACTTACGCCTTGGCTCGGGCATGACGACTGCGAAGACCTGAAGTACTGGGTCTCGTCTCAAATGACGATCACTTCACATATCCCGTAGGCTAACGTCCTAGTCGTTTTCGAGTGCTGTGATCCTAAATGTCATCATCAGTGTTTTCAACATTCTCCCTATCGATGTATCAAAGTCGGATTTGGATTCGACAAATAGATTCTCAAGAACTCGGTCAGCCAGCGCATCATTATTTACCCTGCAACAACTAAAGTCTTTCGCCTATCGCTCCAGCTACCGATCGTTATCATCGTCATAGTCATCATCATCTATAATTATTGGTTTTATCGTAATCCTGATCCTCATCTGTGTAATAAATATTCTCCGAGTTTTCCCCATCGGTGATAGTTCCATCGAGAAATTCTCAACGTCAGAAGATAATTCAACGCACGTTCAGATAGGCCCGATCAGATCTCTCACGAGCGACAATCGGGAGTTTGACACATGGAGACCATAAAAAATTGTGAGCGGGGAGAGAAGGAGGAGGCCGCTCAGAGGAGGCGGAATAGGGGATATGGAAGCGAGATGGAGGCTGAGACGTTTTGTGAATATTCTGGAAAATTGATAGACAACGAAAGTCGAACACAGGAACGAATCACAGCGGGTACGTGTCTGCGACACGAAATTCTCCCCTCGGGGAGCATCATCATCGTCGTCTGCATCGTATGAGCTCGAATCGACCCGGACACGCTATCTTCACACTCTTCTGTATCTTTTCGAGATTACATGAATAAATGTATCCATCATTGAAGTCATGGGGAGACCTCTCGCAAAAAATATTGCCATCCCACGAGCTCACCGACTCAAACGGGGGGATTAGGAGGGTGCACATTGCACAAGATCAAGCGATCAGCGGGGAGAACCAAACCCGAACATACAGAGATTGAAAGATCCATGGCACAAGACGATGCCTACGATGTTGTGTTCTCAGCAGCTGCATAGAAGCGAGGTTTACCTGAGTGGGAAGTATCATAATGTGTTTTCTTCTCCTGTGATCAATAAATGCAGTCCGACGGCGAAGCAGCCGGCACCTTCACCGGAGCTCCGTTCGCGGGCGTTCTGCATCTCCTTTCCGTTTTGCTCGCTTTTCCGTTGTCTAGTCAACGTACTCGTGGGCTTCCATGGGGCGAATATAATGGAGGCGAAGAGAAAAACATCACCGAAGCAGACAGAGTCCCAAGCGACCGAGGTCGTAATGAATGGAAGCGGCAGAGGCGGCGGAGATATTTCGAATTTAGAGTTACAAAGTCTCCAAGTCAGTCCTTCATCGTGCAGAGACTTTGATCCGAGGAATTGGTTCCTGAATCACTCATGCTGCTCGATCCCAGATGATGAAAAAAATATTGTAAGATGAGGAAATCAATCAGATGATCAAGCAGTCGTTCTGGACCAATCGGAAGTTTCTACTAATTGACGCAGGAGTTCTCGGGATCGGCCAAGGAGCTCGGTGTGTTGTTCCAACCCGATGCAGATGTCAGTCAGCTAAACGCACTGACGAAATTCGGCACACCGCGAGAATCAATCGCCGATGATCTCGCGACGACGCCTCAAGCTTCGCGAATCGATTCTCTTGTCGCTCCCTTTCTCTTTCGGACTCTCTTCCTCCATAGCAATCGTGACAGCCGGTATTGAGCGACGCTGGCTCAAATGCCCGACTCAATTGTCTCTTATGATCTCCGGTCTCGCCGCAATAAACAATCGCATGAAAACCCTCAAGCTGCTGCTGCTGTTGCTCTTAGCCAGACGCCGCACCTTCCTGGTGAGCTCAATCTGCAGAAAAACAAAGGAGTACCCGCCGCAGCCCTGGGCATCCTACCTCTTCTACGAGGATATGTGAATCGTTTCGTGTCGTGCTCCACTTGGTGATCATTGCTCGTGGGAGCAAATGGTCACGCTTGCACCGACCAGAGCACGTGCCCGATATAGGCCCATCTCCTCTCGAGACCGAAGATGTCACTTTCCTCGAACTCTCTACCCCATGATTGGTTTCGACGCCTTCGGAGCGTCGGATCCTAGAATTCAGGACCTGGTGGAAATTCTCATAACTGACCTCGACAACAGTAGGGGTTTGTGAGCTGCTGTACATGTGTCGGAAATCATGACGTGATGGCGAGTGGGTGAACAGAAGTTCCGGAGCAGGAAATTGTTAACGCAGTTTATCGCAGTTTCTGGTGTTGGTAGTGTGTGACTATTCATAATTCATAAGCAATACATATCAGAGAGATGCGAACACTGTGGACATCGGTTTCATGAGCGAGGTGCCCCCAGCGAGCATTGGGGACCCTCCAGACTCAACTGACAACAACGTCGGAGCCGATATCGATTACCTCGAGACCAGCCGGGTTGTTGGTCGTCTTCAATATTTTTAAACTTGGCGATCGGGGATTTGCGACGGACAAAATTCCAGGGAATTAGAGGCGAAGCAGAAGCCGGAAAGGTTCTGAGGACTCGGGAATGCTCGGCGACTTGTATTGTCCGGCGGTAAGTTCTCGATCGGATCGATGGTCGAGACCCCTGGTTTCT